TTTTTGGCGGAAAAATAATTGCTATCGTTTGATATCGAAAGTTAGTTTTTACTATTGTGAATTGTTCAATAAAAGTTTGCACAAATGCTCACATTTGTATTGCTAATTTTATATTTCGATCAAAAATTGCTTTTATTAGCAATTTTGCAAAGTTATTATCAGTTCAAAAATTTAAAATATTTTATTAATTTTTTGAATATTATTTGCGAAAAAAGTTTTTCAAAATAGCTAATTGTTTTTAAATGAAGAGAGCAAGCAAGTAACGGATTATATTATGAATAATTTTGAATAATTAAAGATGAATCATCAACGAATTTAATAATTTGTCATATATTTAATATTGAAAATATTGAAAAAAATCAAATCATAAAGATGCAAAATTAAGCATATTCCAAAATGGACTAACTTAACAGACAGAACTTTGAAAGCAAACTACTTTTTCTCTGATCAAAAATGTTTATCACTTATCAAATTTGATTCATTTGATGCTATCAGTTGATTCATTCTAAAGATTTACATCTCAACTTGTAATTAAATGAAGATGCAACAGTTCAATTATTATCAGAATTTAGTATTATATCAAATAAAAACATCGATTTCTATCAAAAATTCAGATGAAATGATAAATATCAAGTTAACAGATTCTGTTTGAGGTTTTGTAGTCTTTGTAATTTCAATGTTTTCAACTTTTTCTATTCATTAACAGTTGACAGTTCTCACATCTTTTGGTAATTTATTTACTTTGCATGCCAATTCATACCATTTTTGTAGTTGTAAAACTAATTCAAAAAAGAATTTAGTATTTATAAATTGTATTCGATCCACTGAAATATAATAAAGTAAAATTCAGTTCATCTGCAGTATTATATGATAAAATTATCGTTTTTTCATCAACATCTTTATTATCATTACTAATACTATATGCTTAACATTTCAGCAAAGTTCTTAACTACTTTAGCATCCATTTGTTATCATTATCACTAGTATTAGTATCATTATTATTATTATTATTATTATTATTATTATTATTATTATTATCAGTATCATTTAGTTTAAAATGGAATGAAAAGTTTGATTTTAATGAAAAATGGAAAGAAACGATTATTTCTGTAAAGTTTGACCTAATTGAACTTAGATAGAATCAATAAAAAGCAAAATATCATCTAGGTCACTTGCAAAACGCATCATAAAAATACTAAAATACAGAGCAAAATTATAACTAAAAAATTTATGAGATTCAATCATTGTTAATCTCACTTCACTAATTGATCATTTAACATAAATTAAAAGTAGATAGAAAGTATATTTTCATTTCCAAGTAAAAACAATATTTTCATTAACAATTCATCTTTCATTTTGCAATATTATAATGATTATTTTAAATTTTCGCAGTTACTATTTAGCAAACATTTCAATTGCTAAAATTTGCATAAATTATTATCATAAATTAATCATTCATTGATGTAAAAAAAATATCATATCAGTCAACGACTAAATATAGACGGAAAATTTATATTGTTCAAATTGTAACTACTTTGCAAAGAGAAAGTGGTTAGTTGTTTGGTTTCAATTTACATCAAAGGTAAAGTTGTGTAGATAGTAAAATTCCTTCAATCTTCTGATAACTTTTCGTTCATACTAAATTGCTATACCTTCAATTGCAGAATGATAAGCTATGAACTGATTGTATCACTGACCTATGACAAACTATCAACTGCTCACATAAAATGAGTCTTTCCACTGAGAGATATTAAGCATTTCAACAAATAAAATTACGAACATTACCAAGTATTACTTTATTAGTATGAATTTTCATTGCACATTTCTCTGAATCTGCTTTGTACTGATGACAATAAATGATTGCAAATTATTAGATAACTTTCCCTTGCCCTTTCATGAAAAGGTTTTTTGGACTGGTAAAAAATTACACTACCTTACTATCACGATCATAATGAAAGTAATGTAAGGAACAATAATCTAACACTGATACCATACTAATATCTTATACTGATCAATCCAAAATCCATTACAGCTCAAACCACACAAATACTGCTCAACGATTACATTCATCAATTTAGAGATAACAAGCAAGACTAAAGCCTCAACAACCTTTGAGAATGCACTACAAATCTCACAAGTTTGCAAAAACTTGCAACCAAATGAGCGTCAACAAAGTTGGCTTTTCACTATACGCACACTTTGAGGTATTTTCTGCGTTCTGGAAAATAGCTTTGAAATAATTTATAACAACTCTGCAAGCATATTACACTTCGTTATGATAACAATGTAACATTAATATATAGCTAATAGCATATATAACAATTATGACTAAAGAAATAAAGTAACACAAGAACATAAGCAGTAATCCTGACTCGAACTTGATATGAAGCTTCACCACATATTTGCATAAAACAGTTATTGCAATTCATGAAGTATCAATAAATATGATATGACATATTATAATGCTTCTGAAATCAGAATACAAACATTGAATAAATATATAACGCTGACAAAATCTATTACTACATTCATGCATGTAACTGTTACTAGCTTCGGAATGAAAATAATTAGAAAGCTGCAATCATTTTTTTTCAAAAATTTTTGTAATACTTTGACATAAATAAACTTTACTCTCATAAAATAATTGTACTGATTAATTGCAGTTAAAGTTACTTAGTCATATTAAAAGTTGAACCATTTCTTCTCGGTATTCTCAACTTCTTCAAATAGTTATAATATGCATATAATAAAAGTGATACTGAAACATTTCAATAACATCATTAAGCGAACCCGAAAACAAGTAGTAGTGGAGATTGTGAATAAAAAAAGAAATATATTAGAGCAAAAATGTACACCATTCAATAGCAAAATAATGCATTCGAAATATAAGAAGAATGAAAATTTGATGCATAATATGCCAGCACATTTAAAAATTAGCAACAATGTAAAAGAATATTGCTTAATTTTACAGCAAAATTTTCTTGAAATAACAAACCCGCGTAATTCAGGGTATGGAACACATTTTCTGACTTCAAATTTCGATCAAAAAACTAAAAATCCCCTTTGTTACTTTTATTTAACTTAAAGATTATTAAACTGTGTATTTGTGTAATTAATTCATTGTCGAAAAAAAAGCGCAATTCAAAACATTTGCACACCTGAGCTAAACTATTTAAAATGATAAGATCATAACCTGAAAACAAAATCAAATCAAAATTATTATTTCTTTCACTAAGATGCCACTGAAATACATATAAACAATGCTAGCAAGGAAATATACCCATTTGCTTTCTGAGATATAAGAAGAAAAACAAGTGTTACTTTCTGCGACTAATCTAGGTAAACTTTTTCAGCACAAATCATTTTTGAATAACAATGTCATATATTTGCAAAAAGCGTATTTTCGTTCGTTCATTTCATAAATATTACCAAAACGAATTTTGCTCTACTTTGAGGTTACTGAATTGAAAACATTTAGCTTCAACTAAATTTAAGAGAAAAAAAAACTGATTCTTGGAATCGAAAAGAGATATGACATTATCATGTAGCAAACAACGTAATCTGCGCACATATACAAAAGCAAGGAATTAGTAAAGCAAAAGGAATAAGTAAAATGCTAATTTTCATGCTTAATGAGAGAAAACAGCAAACTCAAACAATTTACCTGAGTAAGTATTTACATCGATCACCGAACGAACAAAAAGAAGAGATGGTCAACTGAGAGAAGCTGGAAAGAGATTAAATAAAAAATATGCATAATAACATCCAAAAAAGAACGAGTAAGAAATAATGTTGATATAATTAATATTATAAGTAAGACTAAGAGTAAGAGTAAGAGAATATCAGTCTCAACAAATGGAAATGAAATATAGTCGTATATTTTGATTTCACATGTAGGCATTCTCTTCATGAATTATATATTTATGAATCTATATACAAGCAACAAATTATTGTTAACATAGTTGAATGCAAGCTGTTTGAGAAATGTGGTTATAAGACACATACATCCCAGTATTTATGTTTCTTTTCCTACACTCTGAAGCAGCTTCTGAAGAGCATTCACTTCAAATATTTAAAACATAAAAGTTCGGATTAGCCTCACAACGAAAATTTTGTAATCTAATCATAAACAGAAACTTAAATAAGGAACAAATTCACATAAAAAATATTCCTATTGGTGATGAAAATACAGGTAATAATGGCAATGGAATGCATTAAAAAAGCAGATAAATATTCAGTGGATTTTCCAAAAAAAATTAAATGGTCACTCATAATTTTGTAAGGTAAAATTAAGATTTTTTCATAAAAAATATTGTGAAATGACAGAAGCTGATTTCAAATGTTGACTTTAATGGAACTTTTTGACAATGTATATTTTCCAACAAAAGCTAAGAAATAAAATTTCTGCTTTCTACAGAAAACAGACTAGACTCTTCAAACATACAATTAATTTATTGGTGCGATAGGATCTGCTGGTGCTTCATCACTATGTTGTGATTCCGTGATTGAGTCATTGCGATTCATGGAAGGTTCTGTCAACGCTGTTTCTTCCACAACAACTGTAAAAGGTGATGACGATTTTTGGCAAGTATCTTTGTTCTGAATCTGATTATTCTCCTCCATATGATGGGTCATCAAACGCAACGCCTCCACATGATCTTCCATTTCCTGAAATTTACAACAGTAAACAAAATTAATACACAAAAAACAAAGGCATAAAAAAAAGGAAGCTATATTACATCTTATTAATAATAATCACAAGTTCATATCTTGAATATTTCGAATAATTTTTGAAGTCAAATATCAATACAAAAAAGTAACAATTAAAATTCCATGCAGTGAATCGATATGTTTCGGACTGATCACAGTAAATGGAAACGCAAGTGCCCAGCAAGCACTGACAAGCGATGAAGCACACGCTTCCAAAAGACGAGCATCTACCTGAAATTTTTAATCTACTGCGAATAAAAATGTCCCATAGCAATTCAGCACCTTTTTTTCAGATGAAAGTTCAACAGTCTTTTTCTTCGTGAAAGGCTAAGATTAATTGAGTTTCAATAAAATCTACAACTGCATTTTACAAGGGAAATAATAATTATCATGCTAGAATGAAGCGTGATATGATGCAAAAAACGAATGCATAAAATTTGAAAATAAACTTTACACATTTTACTTTCACTCTCTTACTCATGTTCCTATGAAGTAAATATAATAAACCACTATAAACTAATACCTGAGCGGCAGCCATGGTTCGCATCAAGTCATCAAAACGAGGCATGACTCGACTTGTAGCAATTACAATTTGTTCATTAAGTTTCGGTGGAAGCGCCATTAGCTGAATGGTTGAAAGTTTTTCTGTTAAAGTATGGCATAACTTCAAAACTAGAACACAATGTTGCAACATTCCAGAAACATCAAAAATCCACTGATTATTTTCGAAAATTTGGGCTGAAATTTTTAATTACATGGTACTAATTATATGTCCTGCCAAAAAAAATTAGTGCTAGAAGAAATGATTAGAAGCTGAAGCAAAATAACAACTGGAATACAAAGAGGGTCAAAGTGAAAAAGAAAAAAATTAATAAAACAGACATTATAATAACGCACACAACACCACAACTTTCGATAACACAAATACAAATGCAAAACACACTCTCCAGCTTCACCAAAATTACGGACCAATTTAAGCCGTTTTTAAGCACTGATAACACATTTTCTCTCTTATATTTGACCTGTGCCTTCAACTGTCCATCAAATAGCCATTTGTGAACATTAGTTTACGTTTAAATCTGCTAATCACATTTTTTCCTTCTTCATTAACATTTAAGTATATCTGCATAAAATTTTATTTTAAAAAAATAAGTCACACATTAGAAATAATACAATGAGTTGCATATTATCTAAAATACTTCATTTGACTATTGAAGTGCATATTATAAAAATCATCATATCAAAATGTGAAAAAATGTTACCAATGAGAGGGCCAAGATGTACCACACTTTCAACGTCTCCATTATTCGCTTTCATGAAGCGCAGTGAAGACAGAGCAATACGAAGGCGTTTTCTAGTTTGTGCACGTCGTCGACACATAATAATTAAAATACATGATGAAGAAAAGAATACTGAAGCTAACACAAATAACGCTAAATATACGACCACTTCCATCCTGGAATAAATCTTAAATTGACATCTTTCTACCATACTGAATTAATTTGTAATGTCTTTCAACTGATTTAATGTGGTTCACTGATTTAATCTTACCAGGTTCAGAAATCTATTCGTTTGAAACTGATCCGCAGGAAACACTTGCACAAATCCGATGATTCGGTGTATTCACAACCAGAGGGTTGCTATGTAGAAACAGTTTTAGGTATACCAATCAAGCTATACCTGTAAAAAGTTGCTGAAAATATAATACATTTCACTCATAAGAGAATCCAAATCACGGCGATATTTGTAATACCTGCTTCAATAAAGATGCACTGAATTAACTGTAAAATGAATAAATATATTAGAGCAGATAATAATAACTTTTAAAAAATTTAAAATGCCCAAACAAAGTTTAACAAATAATACAATTAATGACTGATAGGTTCAAATAATTAAAATTAAAAGTTGAAGATGAAAATTCGAAAGTCTGAAATTTATTATCTAGTTCATACCTACTAAAATAAATACTTTCTACTTTGAATTAAACACTGACAAGAAAAACATTCATTTAAGTATGTCAAAGATAATCAGCTACCAATCAGTCATTATTATAGTAATTATAGAGTAGTAAATATTACTCTTATTATTAAAGTCATACTTTTAATGGTTATTGATCTTTTTCTCAGCAAACTTCAATAAATTACAGACATAGTCATCCCTTCTTTCTTGCTGAGGAGAAGAAAAAATAGAGCAAGAAAGTAAGATAAAATTTGTGATAAAGATGCAAATGACTGCTCTAGCAGTAAACAAGGTTACTGAAAAAAGCATCTTTTCGTTCTCTTTATAAATAAGCAAATATATATATGCATATCTTCATTACATAATAAGGCTATATTCATGAATAAATAATACCACAAAAGGATTATTCACTTGTTTCTATCCCAGTGATTCTTTCCCGATTTGTATTTAGTAATTTAATGCGAACAGCAAATGGATATTCCCTTTGACTCTTTCTCAATTTCTGAGAGTGAATAAGTGGCAAAACTATTTCGGAAAATATCAACAATCTAAACTACCCCATAACTTCTCATACTTTGCTTACCAAACAAATCAACACGAGTCTATCATGATATGCAATGCAATATTCTTTTGCTAAAGTTATGAATGATAAAACCATTGCAAACTTTTTGGCTTTTTTGGTAGATTAAGCAGTTTACAAAAATTACGCAAAAATATTAACAATAAATGGTACTCAATGCAATCGATCAGCTCGGTTAGTTATTTGCTATTATTGCTATACAAATAAAATTTGATGACAAGTCTTACTTATGTTATGATAGTCTTAACATAGATAAAACTTGTTATCATATAAACTTTATTCGAGAACTAGCATTTGTGCAATAACTTCGAAACCGTTAACCTTTCTTGAAATTGTATAAATCAAATTCTAAAAATAAAAGATCAGCTGAAGAACTGAAATAAGCTTACAATATTCCCTAGTTTACATTTCTGCAGAACCCCTCCATAAGAATGAAGTATGCATTGGTTTCATTCATTTCTTTCTTTAAAATGAAAAATATTGACATATCTTCTGGTCATTTTATAGAAAAGTATAAAACTTGCAATACGAAATAACCGAAAATGACAAAAGTATTTAAAAATTACTCAAGATTATTCAAGAAACAACCAAAAACAAAACAGTAAGTTTAGGTACTGAATTTAGAAATCACAATATGAATAAACAGTTGAATTCCTTTGAAGTAAACCTGACATTATTTTATAAAATTTATAATTGAAACTCTTGTAATTTTCTTTCGTATTTGAGCAACAAAAATCAAGTTTCATTTAGAAGTCAGATAATAGTATCTTAATTTACTAGACATAATATACTAAAATATTCTTTATTACGAACCGTATTGTATATACAGTCATTAATAAAATGAGACTCAAAGCTAAATTAATGGTGTGATTCCAATCTTTTACAAACAGGTTTTCAGTTAAGGAATAATTAATTCTTGGAGAAATTTTCCTTGCAAATGGTAGTTTCATTGCTAACAACTTGTTTTTGCTTTCAGCAAAATCATCTCCCAAGGTTCGAATTTAAAATTACACGAAATAACTAATGTTTTACGATTCCAACAATAATATAAAAAAGCATACCACACAGTAATGCCTCTTCCTAACCTAAGGTCACTTTCCTGCTTAACAGTATCCTCAAGTCTTGTGTATAATTACAACCAAATTATGATTACTGAATCAAAAATAATACCTCAGGTTTCTACAGAGCAGAAAATGCGTAACATTAAAACGGACACCCAAGAGAATAAGGAATATTAAAATATATCAAGATTTACCCTAACGCACGAAAATAATGAATTCATACAAAAACAAAGATACTGCTTTACGAACCAAAATGCAAACGATGAGTGTAGTTCTTTAGGTTGGAATATTCTGACTCATAATTTAATTTCAATTTGAAAAGTATTCGGAGATTCACTCCTAAAAGGTTAGGAATACTGCCAGCACAAAGCAGCAGCACCAAAATATTTCATCTGTATGCCTATAAAAAGGTTGGTGATGAAGAAAAAATAAATAAAAGTCTTAAGGAATGGAATGATAAATACATGTGTAAATTGTTTTATTTTAAGACAATCAAACATCACTTAAATCCCTAAACTCATTCGAATCATTACCCTTTGACATGAATTGACAGAATGATATGTTGAAAATTTTTGAAAATTATATCATGAAATTTTGGAAGTATATGTTAAATTGCTAATTCTGAAATGTTTCATTTCATCGGTTCTCAAATCAAACGTTTAATATTTCTAAAAGAAACTAATAATAAATGCGGCAGAATGAAATGGATACTCCTCGTAATCCATTAAACTGCAAAACAAAAAATGAAAATATAGATTGAAATCGAAAATATAAGTAAAAAACTTTCAATTTTCCCGAGCCAGATAACTTTTTTTTTAATTTTTTTGATGACATAAGCAAATCTCTATGTAATTTCTAAAAATATTATTGAGTAGCAATGCATGAGAAGATAAATGAGAGTACAAAAGTAATTTTTAAACAGATACAATATTTGTACGAAAAGTAGAAAAACCGGAACACTATATATTTAAAAACTACCTTACAAAAAGTTTATAAGCTGAAATGACTGGAAACTTTGCTTTGAAAACTAAAACCTATCAGGTGCATTCACTGAAAACGAATCTGAAAATAACAGAACAAATTTAATTTTTAGATAGCATAGAGCAAATTATGTAGTAGGCACTTTTTCCCGGGTTAACATTACAATTTTTAAATTCATAATTACTTTGAGATATCCTTTAAATTAAAAATCCTCAGTAAGGTGATATTCTGTTATACAGTTAAAAATATGCAGAAATCAGCTAGCACTAGTAGCATGATACACATTAATATATTTTTCATATTTCCATCAAAATGAAAAAATGTGTGTTCATGAACTTATTTGCTGTAAAATAAAGCTTTCGTTAAAGGTTCTATGATCGTTAAATTTGATCGTTAAATTTGAGAAAGATCAGAAACGATCTTAAATAAGAACTAAATTTGTGAGATTTATTCGAGTAAAAATCATAAAGAAATTTGAAATAACGAAAAAGGGGAAATATACTAACCACAATTGCAGCCATTGATGGTTCAGCTAATTAACATGCTCTGATAACATTGGGACGATGTCTTGGTTAGATACCATTATCACCTCTCCCATATCACCTAAGACTCAAAGTTCCTGTTAAAAACTTCATTAAGGCTGATAAAAACTGTCATGTTTTTCAAACCATAAAGGGGTTATCTTCGACGTTGACTGATCAGCTTTAAACAGTAATCATGTACGAAAGTCAGAAAGAAGACAGAAGACAAGTGACTGTAAAGGTAACTCCTTTATGGAAAATTATTGATGCATTACAACAAATACTTCCAGAAAATAAAAGCGCTGGATGATTTTTTTGACTATTTTTCCTAGCAGTGAGATTAAATCAAATTGTAGCATTACATCATAAGCAGTGAATCTTTTATCGCAAAATGAGCATGTATCACTTTAAAAAATTTACGCCTTAAATTCAGTACTTTTAAATTTCTCTTTAACTCAGCTTTGAAATTTTAAAAACACATTGACAACTAGGCAATGAGTAGCCACTCCAAATGAGTTTGTTGAACATCTGATTTTCTGAAATGTAATAGGATTCAGTATTCCTTGTTTCGGTGGTTTCTCGCAAATCTTCTACTAAATACAAAGACTTATTTCATCTAAATTTTTTTATTATACATAACAATTAGTTCAAAATATTTTTTTAAATAGAAAAATTACAAAAACTAATATAATACATCTGTTTTAGATATGAACCCAATGCTTTCAATCTCATCATCTTGAAATATCTCAGTATCATTAAAAGAATATACTTGCTACAGAACGGACACGGAGAAAATTTGGCGAATGAATTTTCTACTTTACTGAATTTTAAAAATATACGTTCGAAGATGTTGAATTAATTTCTGGGATAGAGAAAGTAAGAATGGGTGTTAATGGTGTTCTAAATGATTCTCAAACAATTAGCGATTTTCGCAGAAGCTTGCCTTTTCCTTGTGAGAAAAAGCTCAAAAAAAGTTTGAAATGTACCTTTTTTCATGAACATTTCGAACACTATAAACAAAAAAGTATACCAAATAAGTATATCGTTCCAGTTGGTGCCAAACTCTATTAAAATTGTAAAATTACAATTTTGGTAACTTTCTGGTAGCACATGCTATGTTTAGAAATGATAATTGAAGTTTTTTTCTTGTTTATGCGGAACACTGTAAGTTTCAGCTCTTTTGGTTGATCATCAGGTAACTAAAAGTTTAATGATTAAACACTGAAATTTTAATAAGCTATAAAAACGATATGACAAATGTGAACGACACCAAAACTTATACAACAATGTTCAATATCGAGGAATCTTTTCAAGATAATATGATTAAAATCTTGCGGTGTAATTCATTTTCGAAACAATTTCTAGTAAAAAAACCTCAATGTCTTTTTGCAAATGGTGCATTGTAGACAGGTACCGCTGAGTAATATCTTCTTCAAAATAGTATCGTCAAGGGATATATTTTTATAAAATATCGTCGTTAAACAATAGTCTACACCACCAAACACCAAACACTATTCGCACAAATGATAAAGTCTATTTCTTCTGCTCACAGGGATTTGATTTTTTTACATAATCAATTGCTTTGCATAGAGAGATAGATGGAAAGAAAGCGTAGCTAATTTATTAATTTAAATCTAAATTATTGAATAAAATTATTTTATCATAAAAATTTGATTGCTACAAATAAATATATGAAAAAAAATTTTTAATTTTGTGCAGTTTAGCACTCCAAAATTTGGCATAAAACCGTAAAAAATCAATATGGGCCCCGTAAAAAACTGTTGCAGTTTGTAAAGATTTCAGGCAGTATATTATTATTCATTCATTCGTTTGAACGTTTTGTCTCTTTGATGGATCTGAAGGAACTCTAATTATCTCAGTTGTCATTTGTAGAATTATACACAAGTGATTTTTACATTTATGTATTTGAAAAGAATATATTATCTTCCGTAATAATATTGTAGTAGTCAAAATCTTGTAATTATTTGCACAAAGTACTAGCAATGAAAGGTGTTTTTGGGTAACTATTAGATATTTATGCATTTATGTTAAATATTTGAAATGTTTTGCGTTTTATTTGTGTGCTATCAGTAAAATTAAGTTGTAATTTGCATTAGTGTTGTGTATTTGAATTATTTGTTATTTATCTCAGTAAAAGCACTCAGCAGTCTATTCCTCCGTTGTGTACTGACTGCTCCATTGAGTGTACAAGTTGTAAAAATTTAAATTCATTTGAATTTTCGTAGAAATAGCATTTCAGTCTTTGTCTTTCATTCTGTGAATCAGTTCAGTTTGTTTTGAATTACTTGCGTGCTCTTATCGTTTTATGAAGTCAAAATTGCGCGTGCATACTTGATTATCTGACCAATTAACAATGTAACACAAATAAATTTTGCTTTTCATAATTTTAAAAAGTAAATTTGCTTTCAAAGTTTTTAGAATATTATTAATTATATAAATTTATTACATAATTTTTTCTAAATTTGATATTAGGCTAATAGCGTCAGCTTTTGTAATCTTGTGACTTACATTGCTCTTACCTTTTGTAATATGTATATTACTTGTGAAATTTTCATTGTGAGATATTCCTTACATCTGTAAAGAGTAATTCGTTTCAGTCTGATAAGAAGTGCTATATTATCTGCTAGTTTATTGACTTTAGGTTTGAAAAGATGTGTTTGTAAGTGATATGCTGGAATACTTACTTACCTGTGATTAAGCTGAGGTCTAAGATCTGCAAAAGTACACATTTTAATTGTGTTGGAAAACTGAGAACTTTATAGTTAATTATATCGTCATGAAATGCTTAAGTGTGAAAATATTAAAGGAGTGTAGAGATGAAAGAAAGTTGCTAAAGAAATGTATAACGTGTATCTTCTCATACGTGATGGCAGCGTTTCGTGCTAGCCAAGTGCAGGAAGGATAATCAGAAAGGCTTAGCTTTGTAGACTCTGTTTGTGTGAAGTTGCACAATGCAGTACAAATCATCTGTATATCTGTTTTTTCATACGTCTATGAGATCATGTGCATGTTTGTGCATGTGTGTATATATGTGTGTATGTGTGTATGTAAATTTGAGGAATGTGTATATGTCATGAATGAATTTCTAATAAAATCTCGTGCAGTGCAGATATATACATGTGCTAGATAGATAGTGCATTTTTAAGACACACACATGTAAAGTGTTCTGTGAAGTCTTGCATTAACTGAGAGAAATTGTTGGAAGATGAAAAGTAGAGGAACTATATATACGTATTTTGTTGCAGTTAAATGCTTTTAGTCGATTTGATTAAGTTGAGTTTACTTTTTAAATATATATGACCCATTAAAAAACAAACCAAATACACATTATACGTCAAGCAATTTCACTTTTAAAAAGTAATATCAAACTACTTTGTTTATTTTTGCTTTTCGATAATTCTTCTCACTCATATCATTAATTATGTTAAACACAAAAAGTGGCATCTAGCATGACATTTTGGTTATTCGATTCTTTTTACGTAGTACATCTATCTTGTCAAGTAATACTATTTATTGATTTGTTTTTATTCTCGTATGTTATTTTTGAACTTGTTAAATCATTATCATCATGATAATTTTTTTAATTTGGAAAAGTTGAAATTTAAAATTATTGATTATATATAGTCTTATCAACTTTATCATTTTTGACTTCTTAAAAAATGTATGTATTAAGATATAGAATTGATTTTGTCAAGTGTCACATTGTTGTACAATATCAAATTAGGAATATTTTGTTTACAGAGGCAAAAACTTTCACAGAATCTGTAAAATATTGAAAAGAACAAAATTCTCTCATGAATAGAGATGAATTAATTGGGAAGCATTTTTTAGATAAAATGCAAGCTGAAGAATGTTTTCAATTCTTCACGACAAAAATAAATAGTCAATTTCGATGTCTCATCATCACTTCTAGTTTTGATATTGCTCATTTGGTCTTTGATTATCTGTCTTAAGTTTAGCTTTTCATTGCTGGCAGTAGTCAGATTGAAGATTGAAAAAGTAGTTAGTTTGTTATCTTTCTCTCTTTGCGCTGTAAGAAATTCAACATTTGTTACTGATTTTCAATCAGTTAAGTATTAGGAATGTTTTATTTTGAAAATATTTTTTTAGATTTGGTTTCGAATTATCTGAAGAAAAAGTGCTAGGGACAAGGACAAAAATGCGTGGTGATGTTCAAGACTTGAAGAAAACTGAGTTAGCAGCAGAAGGCTTCAGCATAGAGAAGCAACAGGAGCAGCTGTTGATGAACAAACTTGCGACCAGTGGCAGATTACCTTCAAAACCGCAAACCGCTTTTCTGCAAAAAAAGTTACAACAGCAAAGAGTATTTTCCTTTTTGTATTTTTCGAAGCTTTGAAAAAAATTACTCAATTTATATTTCAGATTTTTAACTCTTCTTATTCGTATATAATACCAAATTTGTTTTTATTCTTAAAAAATATTAGGTAATTAAAAAATATATTATCTTCATTTGTGCTGTAATTAATTGATCAATCACACTTGATGGGTCCCATCACTAAATTATTTCTACCATGATCCTATCTTATCTTCCATGCTAATATCGTTGCAGAAATTTTTTGATTCTGGTGATTATGCAATGAATAAAGAAAAAACCAAAAAACCATCAGCTGACATACCTAAGACAGATCTGCAATGTTTTCATGATCCGAATACAATCCCTTCAGTTGCAGAGGTGATTATTTTCGGTATTTAATTCATATTGAAATTTGCAAATTTTTTTTAATTTGTGGGATTTTTTTTCGAAATATTAACTTGATGTTTTTTTTGTTTGAAGTCTTGGAAAGGTTTCAAACAAAAAAAATAAATGTTTTCATGTACGAGGAACATCACTTTTAGGATGGTTTAATGTGCAGGATTCAAAACGTTTTTAGTTAACATAAAGCCGTCATTCTTTTTTCCATTTTTGGCATTGTCATGTTTCAGAAAAAATTATCAGATGTACCGCTTCGGGTTGAGGTGAAACCATTAGGCGATGAATCCTTGCTTATTCCTCGACCAGATACGGTACCGCAACGTAAATCGTCAATTATTTACCCATCTGTACATAGTAAATTAAGTCCGCAACCACATATTCATCATTCATTTCATGATAATGATGCTATTTCTGAATCCTAAATTCCTCATCTCTTCATTATAAGATCTGTATTTTTTTTTTGCATTCAAGAAACGAGAAAGAGCCCTTAATCTGTAATTTTTGAGCATCATTGTAAAGCCCATAAGTTTTTTACTTTAAATATTTAGTATTGATTCGGCTTTGGTAATAATTTGTTTAAAAAACAGAGCTGTTTATGACCAATATATCCTCTAAATAACTTGTTTTCAACTCATATCGTTATCCATTTATTTCTGTATAAAGACGTAGGACACCTTAGCAAAAGCATGTAAGTCACTGAAGTCCTTAATAAATACCGTGACAGATGTATAAGTTAAAATCTATTTTATAAGTACCAGAAAAGTTTCCCAAATCCAACGATCTTGAATCAGAATTTACAAAGAGACTGTAAAAACAGAAGAAATTAGCTGGTATCTTATATATATGATTGTGTAGATAACAGCAGGAATAGCGCGTTATTTAAGATCGGGTAATTTTTTTCTTGGACTGACTGGATTTATTATGGCTTTTAGGCTGAAGAATTTTGTTCCCAACAAACTGTTTCAAAAGCATATGAGACTTCTGCGGTATTTCTATAATTACGAAAGCTTGATTCTTACGTTGTCCCTGCACTTACTATTGTAAACAATTTCTCTTCCACTACTTTTTCCTATTTAAAAACTGATGGGGTGTTGTTTCGAACAATGCATCTGTAATGTTGCGCATTACAAGACTTTTAAATGTTTGCTTGCTAAATACATATCATTTGAGCGTTGCTAAATACATATCATATAAATGGTGATTTTGCTTTTCAGTTATAAATATAAATGACAAACTGCCGAACGAAAATAAGAAGATGAAAAGTATTGGATGCTTTTCCACAAAGTCTTTCCAAGTACTGAAAAGAAACAACTCTTGTGATACACTCTCAATCAACATGAAATATATCACTTCAACAGCTTTATCATGTGGTTAAGCAAGTTTTTAAAGCGTCAGTTTCAAAAGAAAATCACAGGTAAGTAAACAATCGGAAATTGCCGCAATACAGAGCTGAATCCTTACCGCATAATTTGAGTTTGGATTCATTTATATGATTCCTGGTTAACTTCGAATACTCAAATGCAACACAATATAAAAAGATAAATAGAATGAACGCGAAATATTTATTTGTATTCTTAGAGAAGGCAGCAGTTCATGTCAAATAAAAATCTAGTAAAAAATATCTAGATCGGTCTATTATAGTCACTGATCGATGGGTTTGTTTAAAGTTAAACAATAAAAGTGTGTAGAGGATCAATTAAGATGACGCAGTACATAGGAAGATGGTTATAAAACCTAGCAAGGACTACACCTTAATTTAGGAGTTGTATTATTATTACTGAGGATACAGCAATTTATGTTCAGTAGAAATTTGGTGAGATAGACTCAGCCAACCTTTAAAGGAACTTCTAACCGTTATTCGTGCTACCAATTTTTAAAACATGTAATGAAGCAAGTTTCCAACAATTAATGATTTCAGTAATTGTCCGGCAGTTAACTGTCATATTTAAGCGTTTATCAAACTGTGTATTGATATCGACCAAATTAATCCTACCATATGACCATCTATCACGCCATATGGAAGCTTTAGAATCTGGATAATTCAAAGGAACTACTAATCGTAATGGAGGAACCAAGAGCTGAAATTTAAAAGCGATGTTAGGTTTTCAGCTTTTTCGAAAACTAACAACGAAGCAGTGATCCAGAACATTGATTGTAATAAATTATACGCTAAATTAACTTTATAACTAAAGAATAAACATGAAATTAAATAAGAAGTAACTAACGATATCATTATCTATAAACACTTGTACTTCCGTGCAATCTTCTGAAATAGGAACAAATTCAGGATCGAACCTGAAATTACGGCTTTCACTTGACTCCAAGTCACAATTGATCACCAAAAAAATGGTTAATAAACATATCTCATTACATTTATTACATATCTTTCTTCTTGTTTCAAATATATATATGACCTATCAAAATCATTAATCGATGCTCTAAACACATTTTTTTAAAAAGTACCTATAATTGTATGATCGAAGTTGGTCTGAAGCTTCTTGTGACAATTCCAAGCGTGAACCGTCTTGACATATTACAGCTATTCGATCTAAAGTACTGCAGATTCTTATAAAAATGCTTTTAATGTCCCAATTCAGTTTTCTTCTTGGATAAATTTTGAAAACATTCCTTTACCTAAATATGCATTTTATAATTAAAGTTCTTAATGAAACGAACCATCATTTTCTTCTTTTTTAATTCGCTTCGGTGGTATCAGATCTTTTCCCTCTTTGATTCGAGATTTTTCTTCTTTAATCAAGTTAATTACTTTATCTGGAACTCTAAAATCTCAAATACAGACTAAAAATAGTATTCTTACACTTACAACCATTTAAGAATTTAATAACTAGCACGCTAGCTATTATTATCAAAGAATCTGAATTTTTCAGTAGAGATTTAATGCTTTGCATCAAAAACATGATAACATAAAATTCATTTTATCTATGTTTGTATAAATATTAGCAACTGAAATGGAAATTCTTATATGATTTAGAAAGTCCAAAATTGACTGTGAAAATTCATATAAACCTACCTTATATTATACTGATTAAAATCTGCCCAAGGATCAGGCACAACTGGCTTTGGAGCGTCACCAATTTCCACACGTAAAGCTTCCGTAAGAGAGTAACAAAGTGAATCATGCTCAATTAAATTCCTTACACTTACAACCAATTTTTCCAGGAGTTTCAATTCTACTTTTCTGCAAAAACTACTTTTAAACGAATGAATTTTATAGAGAACTATGCTTTATGCACTAAAGAGGCATTGGAAGTGACATAAAATAGAAACCGATTAAGCTGACATTAAGTTTTTTAAAAAGAGAAATCTAGAGAAATTTAGAAAATCGAAAACTAGCTACTCAATGAAAAAATCAAATTTCATATATTCTGGCATCATAAATTTTCAGAAATTCAGTGATCCAAAAATTGCAAACAAAAAAATTTTACCGACGATTTTCCATTATTTCTAGAAGGCGCTCAAACTTCGATTTTGGTGCTTGTCCATCTAATCTATAAAAATTCAACATAGAAATGCCACTATGAAACAAAAACCTAGCTTATAAGCACAAATTTCATTGAAATTTATTCGAAAATAATTTTTTAACATATGATCTAAACTCTTCATAACATATGATCTAAAAAAACAATACATTACCGATTCCTTTCGAGCAATCTTTTGATATGTTCGTGGTAAGGTTTCAGCAAATCCAACTTTTGGCTGTAAAGTGGTTCATCTGAGCTTTTATCATTTTCACTACTGGCTGCATTATGTGTTGGAGTAGAACTTTCTAAAACATGAAAAAATATTAACTTTCAAACACTTCAAGTTCTTACCTCAATCATCTTTTTTCAGATGTTTCAAGATTGAGAAATTTACCCCCAGAATGATGTTGAGCGTAAATGGCAGATGGAACACTACTGGGACCTTTATGATGAAGAGAAGAGGAGTGCTGAACAGAAGATCCAACCGATGATGGCTGTGTAAGAGTCATTTGTTGTGGCGAATTATAATTTTGCATACTTCCGGCATCCTGAGATTGATACTGCATGTTTTGCGAGTTCATACCATTTACCATATAATTACTTGGTATACGTCTGAAGTTAAAAAGAAATTAATGGAATTCTTCTTAAAATGTGCAGAATTTAGATACAAAACAGCATATTAAAAGTTTAAACTTCGATTTAATACTATGAAGAAAAATAATAAGTGTGCCAACAAAATATTAAAAATGCTTACTAAAAACTTATTATGTTTCTTTCTTTCAAATACTTACTGCACTGTAACCTGTGTTGGCCCCATCTGCCCCATCCCTGTTTGTAGTGAGACGCTTTGAGCTGGATACGGTACAGGACCTGCCTGTACAGGTCCCATACGTACCATTTGTGTATTTCCTCAAAAAAGAAACAATCATAGAACACTACTAGAACACCAATTCAAATTAAATATTCTGACAAAGAAACAACAACTTGATTCTAAAAACTGCTTGTAAAAATAAATAATGAAACATACCAACTTGCTGATTTGGCCCAACATTAATCATCATTCCACCAGTATTTATCGTGCCATGTCCTGGATACTGCTGAGCAAGCTACAAAAACGGTAACAAAAGCATAATGTTTGAAAAAACTATTAAGATCTTTACACACTTTATCTTTAAAACTGAAGAAGTTATATCTTATGAGAAAAGCAATCTAAAACAAATATCTCTAAATCTATCGCTTAATATGAGCCGATACATCTAAATTATTATGATTGAAAATTTTAAATATCCCCTCACAATGAAATGATTATTTTGAACTGAACTTAGTTCGTACCCGTACTCGCCCTTGAATGAATCCAAGAGCAATTTGTCGTTTCTTTTCTGCATTGGTTTCTGCATTTATTTGCTGCTGAGCCATTTGCTGCACTTCTGGTGGTAAGCGAGATAGTGCATCACTCATTGTCCTTAAACAATTTTGAGAGAATGATGTATATATATATAATTAAACAATTTTAGCTCTTGAAATACAGTATTTACATACAAGATTCTTGGTTGCATTTGTGAATTTTGCACATATTGTCCAGATCCGATTTGTACCGGTTGTTGACCAGGCTGCATCATTGTCATACCATATCTTTAATTTCACAATTTAACTTTTTATTAAATTTCGCATTTAACTGTTGGAACTGAAAACTAAAAAATCATAAAAAATTAGTACTTTGCTTATTTTTACTAGAAACAAATTTTTAAACAATTATTTATCCCACTAAATGTATCAAGAATTTAAGTTATGCATAGTGTAAAAACACTTTTTAGTAAATTACTGTCATATAAAATGGTAAATGATTGTGAAACAGAATACTACATTACTGAAAAATACCAACACATTGAAAATAAAGACTGAATAACTTCACAAAATTTAGAAATTTTGAATTGCAAACTAACTTGCGATTATAAAACATAAAGACAATTAGTATAAAAACTAATCAATTTCACTTTCTTTATCACAACTTCCAAACATTTTAAATTTGCCAAATTCATCGTTTCTCTTCCATCATAATTACCCGAGTCGTAAAAAAAACACATTAAGTAGAATCAGATATTACCTTTGTTGTCGATGCATATGTTGTGGTGTCATCGTTGTTGGCACAGTCATCTGTGAGAAATAAAATGATAATTTGCGCACAGAACTGATAAATTATCTTAAGAACTTAAAAAACAAGCAAATGACCCAGTTAATTACTACTTCGTTCCTTTCTACAGTGATTTTTCGTTTTAAAAAGAAATTATTTAAGTAAGCACAGAAAAAATTACATTTATAGCATTTCAAGCTGTAACTTAATGCTTGAAAATTCACATTGTTATTTGTAAAGACTCCCATTTCTGTCATAAGAGTTAGTTTTACAATACTAAATAATGAACAAATGGATATTGCGATTTCTATTAATTAATTACGAACAGAGTATGGATTTTAAGCCGCTTGTTAAAATTAACTAAAGATTTTTTTTGGTTGATTTCAAAGATTATCTTCGGTTAATTTTAACAAGCTGTTTGCAGATAATTTTTACGATAGCTACCAACTTTGAGCATTCAACACATAACATCCAGTTTTTCATAAAACAACTTTATCTCATTATAAAACACGATTACTAATTTTTTTGAACTTGACGATGCAAAAAATATGTTTCTATCGAAAGGGAATGATTTTCGCTAGTGAAGGATTAACAAATGATGCAAATAATTTCAATGATACACACAGTACATTGTCAACAATGCTCTATCATGCTGTATTCACCTTCCATAAATGTGAGCACTGATACTTTGCTTTTACTCATTTCCCGAAAATTGCTATTAATACTTCAATATTTTTATAATATTGCAAAGCAGAAATAAATTAAGTAAATACAAGGAATTTTACAAATGGAAGAATGAAAGTAATAAGAGTGACAACTCCATGTTTCATTAATATATGACGTTTAGTACCACTAACCAATCTTATCCTCTTATTCTCTAAAGTTATTCATTTACATTAATTAATGAAATCAAATGAAATCAAATTATTCAAATTTCTTATATATCAGTTTGATATACTAATGAAAAATGGTACCAAATGAAAAAATTATGTCGGAAATATAGATAAGAATATACTAACCATGCGAGGATTCTGCATTCGCTGTCCTTGCTGCATAATAAACTGTTGCTGGTCAACGTAATTCATATTTCATATATGTACTGCGACAACTCCAAATTATTTACGTCAGGAACCTCAATTTTGAGCTTCTGGCCAATTGAATCTGAACCAATTAGTGTCATCAGCAACTCAGATATGAGCCAGATATTTGAATTTCGCTAAATGTAAATTATATTTAATAGTCACTTTTCAAATAGTAACTTGATAAAGAGTTTTGTGTTTGAAGTAAGGATTTAGAGTATACAGAGCTGTATCTTGTGATTTATACTGTATCTTGGTTTATTTCTAATTACATCACCAGCATTCAAATTACATCCTAGTTAGTCATTATCGTTCAAATTGAAATTTTCAAATTTGAGCACAGTTTCGTTTTTTGTAGGCTTTGCAAAGATGACAGATGAACAACCCAATGTTAGTCCTTTACAAAAAGTACGTAATTTTTTTTAACTCTTAGTATTCTCTCAGCAGTGAATATTCTATTTGATCAGACATTTAATTAATCAGCGAAAAGTATTTGTTAGGTATTGTCAAGTAAATGAGCTTTTCATTCCATACATAACAAGGCAAAGGTAGTAGAAAAAGTATCTCAGTTTTGATTTGTTTGTAAATTTTTTCCTCAGTGTTTTTAAAAAGAAAATTTATTGTCAGCAGCTTATTTCACTGAATAGAAGAACTTGTGAGAATGATTTGTAAAAGTTACTATTTTTTATCTTTTATATACTTCCATTTAATGTGTCGTTTCTTCTGAAAGAAATGAGGTTTTAGCTTGATGCATCCAACATCCGAAATGTTTGTATAATTGCTCATGTAGATCATGGAAAAACTTGTCTCGCTGATTGTCTTATCTCTTCAAATGGATTAATTTCTGCACGTTTGGCTGGCAAGCTGCGATATATGGATAACCGTGAAGTATGTCTTTATTATTAGACTAACCTGTGCTTTGATGGAATTAGCGTTAGAAACTACTTACTTATTGATGATTTCAGGATGAACAAGTTCGTGGAATAACAATGAAGGCATCAGCAATTGCTCTAGTATACAAAAATAAAATCATAAATTTGATTGATTGCCCAGGACATGTTGATTTTTCGGGCGAGGTCTCTTCAGCGTTGCTGTTATCGGACATAGCTTTTTTAGTAGTCGATGTGGTTCGTCTATTTTTTTATCTTCAGATGAAAAATTCAAGTTGTTTTGGAATTTACTACTTTCTAGCATAATCGCTTTTTGTGAAGTAACATTATCGTAAGTATAGATATCAATTATCCAATAATTGAAGTGATTAATAGGCATTTTTTGTTAATGATTAGAAATTTGCATTTATCTTTGAAAAATACTTTCGATAATTGAATAAGAAATAAGCATCAAAGCATTTCTTAAGTAGTTTAGATATTTCATTTATTTTTATTTAGGTTGAAGGAGTTTGTTCACAGACAGAATTCTTTCTTCGACAAGCAATTCAACTAAATCTAGAAATAATCCTTGTTTTCAACAAAGTAGATCGATTAATTGTAGAATTGAAACTTACTACAGCCGAAGCTTTTGTTTATATTCGGCGTCTGCTGGAGCAAGTAAACTCTGTTTTCTAATTTTGCCATTTAAATGTCTTTCAGCAAGGTTAAGACAATATTTTATTCATTTATGTTTAAAAATAATTTGAAATGTTTGTGTGTCTTTTTTATAATATAAGATTTTGCATAATTTAGCAGAATATATTTTGTTTTCAGGTTAATAGTTGCATCAGTCAAATTATATCAGGTGTTTTATTAGAGCAAAAAGATTGGCATGATATGGAGCGTGCTGAAAAGGATCTTCATTTTTTACCAGAAAATGAAAATGTTATATTTGCTTCAGCCGTGCATGGTTAAATTTTTATATTTTGCAGTTGTTTAATCTTTTAAATAAGTGTGACGCATTATCTATAGACTGTTTACTTTTTAATTTATATTTCATAATTTTTATCTGAATTTAAAGCGTTAGTTTCATGCATTTTTCTGTTTGTTTCAGGATATGGATTCTGTCTGTCAGATTTTGCCTCACTGTGGTCCAGTAAAGTCGGCATCCCTGAAAAAGAAATACTGTCGAAGTTTTTTACAGATTCATACTTTTCAAAAGGTATTATAAAAGAAGGTGCAGAACATTTAGGTAAAAAAACTTTATTTGAGCAGTTCATTTTGCAGCCACTGTGGGATGTCCATCATTCTGGTTTAATAAACGAGGATTTGAAGAAACTGAAGGTTTCTTTTTCTGCTGCTGTAGCAAGTATTCTTTTGAAAAAATAAGTTGATTTTGTTTTGAAATAATGTATTAAGCATGAGAATGAGATAGACTTGTCTTTCTTGTCCATTATTAGGAGTTGTATTTAAGTGAGATAGTTTATTGCTTTTCGCAGTACAAAACTTATTCACATGCAATATAAAATAAATCAATCATGTACTGTTAAGATAACCAGCTTTAGGTATTTGCAAATAAGATGAATATTGAAATTCGAAACAAACGTGCAACTGAAGCGTTTGATGAGTTCATGCGTGGTTGGCTTCCTTTAACAAAAGCATGTTTTCGAGCTGCTATTCAAGCATCACCTTCATCTCATTCGTTTACTCGACTCGGGCGTTTGGCGTCTTTGTCCTTACATGAAAACCATTGTCTTTATGAAGTTGTTAAAGCATGCGATCGTACAGGCATAGCTGTCATTTTTGTTGCTAAAGTCTTACAGTATGGAAAAAAAGTCCTCGCCATGTGTCGAGTGCTTTCTGGAAGCGTCCGAAAGAATGATAATCTGTATTTGATTGACAATAAGCGATCAAGTGAAGCTGCTTCTGAAAGGCTTGTATTTCATCCCTATTAGTAGCAAAAAATTTTTTTTAATGTAGTTTAAATTTTATATTTTGCTTAACATATGTTTTACATCACTTACTAATCAGCTGTTTCAGTGAAATATGAACACTGACAAGTTTTTAAAAGTTTTAGAGAGACGGTAATTGTTTCTGAAGTTTATTTACTCATGAGTCGGGAAAAAATCATTGTAAGCCAAGTTGTTGCTGGAGTAGTGTGTGCAATCGAATTTGATGGTGACGTTGTGGCGACTACACTTTGTAGTGAACCGGTTGCAGAAGGTCTTTGTCATATGACACGTGGCGTGGAACCTTTAGTCCGTGTATCTATAGAACCGAAGCATGGCTTAGATGAACTGCCACGTTTAAAGGCTGCTTTGAAACAACTTAGCATATTGGATTCGAATATCCGGGTCATTGAGCAGGAAAATGGTGAATTAGCTATGTTTGCTGCAGGTATTTGTTTGAATTTTCAAATTTGTTCAAAATGTCTTTGAAGTACTTCGGAATATTTCTTATTTTAAATCACTGAAGTTTGCAGTTTTTCGCATTCAATTTAGGAAATCAAAATGTTTCAAAATTTATACTTTATTTGAAAAAGTATGCTGTGTTTTTTTGTGCAACTTGGATTTTTTCTTCAGTGTTCTTAATATTGCGATCTTCTGCAATTTTCTTTTGTATTTTATTAGAGCTCTTTGTATTTTCATAGTGATGTAAATATCAACTTCATTATGACTTCAACTTGCTTGTATTTTTTATTTTTGTTTCTTTCAGGAGAAGTTCATCTTGAGAAATGTCTTACCGATTTGTATGATATGGGACATAGTGATATAAAAGTTTCAGAGCCTTTAGTGCCTTTTTTTGAAACTATAGTTTGTGTCCCTGGAACGTCTAGCAGTTCATTTCAAACTGTGGTAATTTTTCGTCCCTGTATTTTTTCCAGTTCATAATATCTCTTTTTTCTTTAGAACCATTGTATACTTGTAGAGCTAATTATTTCTACACCATTAAAAACATGTTTTAGAATTATGATGTGCGTAGTGGTCTAGCTGAAATAAAATTGCGTGCTGCGCCTTTACCTCGGAAACTCATTGATGTACTAGAGAAAAATGATAATATTATACGGGATTTACGGCACGGGAAATTCACATCAGCAGCAAGTGATTTATATAAGATCTTGGTGGATGATGGTGTGAATTGGTTGAAAGATCTCAAAGGAAGTTTCTGGTCAAAACAACGTATTGAATATATTAGGTGAATATACTAAAACGTGCATATTATTATTTGATGATTAAAAAAATGATTAAAAATTCTTAACGGAAAAGTGAGAATATTGAGTGTTCGTCTAATCGAAAGTCTACTTTTAAAACTAATTTCATCACACAATTCTACGCAGTGAGTGAAAACTCTAATCCATATCAAAAACAGTTTATAATGTTTATGATAGAGGATTTTATGTTTTACTGGCTTGTTATCTACGTTTTAAATTTAGATTCAGTTACTTTTCTTCCTGATGTCCTCTTTATTTATTTTTTTATCCTCTTCAGGCAGTTAATTGATAAAATATGGGCATTTGGACCATCTAGAGCAAAGTTTAATATACTTTTTAATGCAGTCGAAAGCTATGACAGACCATCTATATGGGAAAGTAACTTTTTTTTCCTTTTGTTGGTAGAATTTAATATGTTTATTTGTTATATACTTTTATCCAAAAACCAAGAGAAATTTATATTCTTTTGATTTTGGGAACTTCATTTCTTTTATATATATAAAAGAGAAACTATTTACACTTGGAAATTTTTCATAGAAAATGCGCCGAAATTTCGATGTTTTGACCAGTCGATGATAGCTGGGTTTGACCTTGCAGTAGAATCAGGTCCTTTATGCGAAGAACCAATGTGGGGCACAGCGATTATTGTTACTGAGTGGACGGTAAAAGACTTAAATGATCCCTCAATGGCTGGTGCTTTGATATCTGGGATGAAACAGGCATGTAGGTATGCCCTGAAGTTTTTCATGACAGTTCCCTCTTGTTTATAAAGGAATGTGTGATCTTTTGCTGAATTTAGCAAAAATTTTCTCAATTTAGCAAGAAAGTTTGGTATTTATTCTTTTCTTAGTATTATTCGAGAAAATCTTTTGAGTAGAATGATGTCATTGTCAGCTATTTGAAAAATTGCCAAAGAATTCGAATTTGTTGGCGAAATTGCCTAAAAATATTGACAACATAGTAACCAATATTTTTAAAGGAATAATTAGTTTTTTTCATCTGAAACTTTTTTAAATGAAAAATCTGTACATATTAATTATCAATATTCTACATTTCCTACAATGTAATATAATGCGGCAAAAGTTTTTAGAGAAGCTCAGAATAAACTTCCACTTCGACTTATGGCGGCAATGTACAAATGCACTGTGCAAACAAATACTCAGGCATTAGGTAATGTGCATACAGTTCTTTCCCAGAGACGAGCTAAGGTACGTTTTAATGCTTAACTTGGTTCATTTGAATTTCTTCCACTTTCACAGATCAAAAAATAAAAAATCACAAGTCTTACATATTTTTTTATTCAGATATTAACGGAAGATATAAACGAAGCCAGTGGTCTATTTGTTGTTAAAGCGCACTTGCCTGTAATCGAAAGCTTTTCATTTTGTGAGCAGTTAAGGAAAAAGACAAGTGGTTTTTCATCAGGTCAGTTGGAATTTTCTCACTGGGAAGTCGTCGATGAAGATCCATTGTGGGAACCTACTACTGAAGAGGAGGTAACCAATTTTGCCTCATCGCTTTTAAAAATTATTGGAGAAATGCTGAATTTCCTAGTGACTAAGATATTGAGGTCAGTTTTCGAACTAACTTATCAGTAAAAATAGTGAGATTTCCAATTTTCGTCTGAAGCACAAATACATCGCAATTCATGTATGTTATCGTTTGTAGATTGAAGTATATGGCCTTAAAGGAGATTCCATGAATCGGGCTCGATTATACATGGAAGTTGTAAGAAAACGAAAAGGTCTATTAACTAGCGAGCTTGCTGTAGTCAATGCTGAGAAACAGAGGACTTTAAAAAGGAATCGCTGATTATTAAAATACTTAGGAAGGAAAAAACGTGTATGTGACGGGTGAGTTTCTGATTTTGTTCATAATTTGCTATGCTCATATGTCTTTTGAAATAATATGATAATTTGTTGTGCAGTATTCCCCATATATCAAAAGTTTACTTTTTAGTAATTTTGTACGTGTTATAAACCGATCGAGTTCGAATAGCGGAACATTAAGAAATTAATAAGGCGCTTTTTTATCTATACTTTATATTTGCGAAAATTCAGTAATACTCTTCATGTTGTTCTGGAAAGTAACATAGGATTTTAGCAAAGAAATAATTGACATAAACAAACAAGTCGTCGGGATGTGTATTTGTATGTGATATTCTCACCTTATCTTCCGAACTACTCGTTATGTACAGCTTTTGTTGATTTCTCGTTTTTTTTTTTTGCTTTTATTTTTCGATAAATGATAACTATTCAAAGTGATTTTGACACAAAAATGAAATTGCACTTTAAACTTCTTTTCACACCGATCTGATCTTATTCTACGTGTCAGTTCAGGAGTAAATCATGATATCAGGCAGGGAAAATTCATGCTTGAAAATGAGCTAAGACTCATAAATGGCACAATTTGTGTAATATGTAAGGGGAAGAGGAATCTGCGATTACTTTTTAGCACCATCAAATATTAGGGAAATGAAGCTTTGGAAATTTTAAAAGTTCTTAGGCCTGACAAATTTATTACTTTAACATTATAGTCCTTATCATTAAAGTCTCAGCATTGTGACAGTACTCAGTTGGAATTGAGTAAGAAGTAAATCTTGTGACAGTTAGCTTCCATAGTCTTTAATTTCTTTCAAACTTTAATTTGATTACAGTTTAAAGCGGAGTCATTATTTCACTGAAAAAATTTAATTCAGCAAAGGCAATTAAAATAATTAGTTAGCATTAGTGTTTGCAAGTTGTTTAACTATACAGGATTAAAAGCATGCAAAGTTGTAATCGTCGATATGTGTGCTTTCCGCTTCTGAATTTTTTTCCTTCTCCAACAAATATATGCGCTAATTAGTATTATATTAAAACCTATGCAAAATACTGAAATGACAATTATTAAGCCTATGGTCCAGATTGGGGTTGATAAGAAATCCTCAAAGAAAAAGTTATCATTGCTGCGATGGCTTCCTTCACTTCTATCCAAACTTGCATTCTGAAACAGAATTTTTTCATTGTTTAAGCTGAAAAAGCACTTTAAATATAAATTATCTTTATGCTAAGTTAATTATTTGCTTAAAAGCTTCCATCTTTTATAGTAAATACCAAATAACTGATATATCAAGAATAATTCAATCACTAGTTTGGTGACATATTGCTAGTTTAAGCAGTGAACAATAATATTAATTTATTAATTAATAAATTACTTTTTTTCAAGGCAGTACTTCGTGTCTAAGTTCATAAGTTCCATATGAACAACATGTCAGTCATTTTTAGTGAGTCTGTTTTTCTGGATGGGATATTGAAACTGTATAATTAATAAGGAAAATACTAATACTAATCTGTCAGATGATATTAATTAAATCATAATCAGATGACGCAAATTAAATTACTGTCGGAGACTAAAGTATGAATAATTTTTTACGGGACAAGAATATAATTAATTATCATCTTAGTTAAGAAAACTTGTTGAATTTGTCGATAACTTTACTTTGAAAACTTACTGATGCATAAGGTACACAAAAAGTAATTTAATAATAAATTTTAGAGAATTCTTTGAATACTGAAATGAATATGAGATCTTGCCATGCATAAATTAACTTCTCGGAAAGTTTTCCCTTTAGCCTACCAAATAAGTTAATTCATTCTTGCATACTTCCTTTACTCTTCTATTTCGCTTAAGTTTCATTCTTCGATACTTTCAAAATCAACAAAATATAAAAGCTCTTTTCATTATCCTTACAATTCATCCATATGCTAACAATAATTGTTATTATTAGTGGTATTAATGCAATTATTATTACTATCATTAATATTGTTATTATGAATAGTGTTATTCTTACGCTGCAATATGAGAAATTTACTTCTTTTCATAATGCTATAATTATAAGTGTAATTTCAAACAAATTTTTCCTAATAAAGTATGCAAATATAAGAATACTTTCTTGACGCTACGCGTTTGATAGTTTTTGCTTTCATATTCAAACGACTAAATTAACAAAGAAAACAAAGTAATGTTGACATTTATAATAATTAAAATAGTGATATTATTATTAGTATTATTGCTCATCGGTTGTTTTAATATGAATAAAAAAATGACAGTAATATTAATACAATATTAATGACATTAGTAACTAAACAATTGCAAAAGTGAAGCAATTTATTTAAGAGTTTGTAAGAACTATAAAGAAGATAGTGATTATTCCCACAGCAAAAAATAATTGTTAATGATTAAGTTAAAAAATATTATTAATTACTGTTACTTTAAGAATAATAAAACTAGTTAAAAATAATTTTTATTAGAATTTTGATGAAGTCCTAAAAAATGTTCATACTTGTCATATGGACGAAAATAATTTTGCTATCAGAAATGATTTTAGCAATTATATGACAGTTTTAGCACAGTAACAGTAAACAGTATTGATAATACGAATAAAAACTGCATAGCACTGTCAGAGGCTATATTGTCATAATCAAATTTTGAATAATTTGTTGATTTTTTAGTTTGAGATATTTTTTAGTAATATTATTTATAATTGAGCTTTGATGGCAATAATATTAATAAAGTTGAATTTATCAGTATTGTACTGTAACAAAAGCGAAAGCTAAATACAATGAAAAGATATCAATTCTTTTGTGATTGAAAATTAAATTAACGAAACGCTTTTAATTAAACTTTATGCATATTTTTGCTAGAAAGAGTAAAAAAACATTTGGCGGGTAAAGTATATTGATATTATATGCTAGAAAAATGTGTGTGAATAATTCAGAAATAATTTAACTTTTTAAATATTGAATTGGATATCTCAAAAACTATTAAAGGATTACTTGTGCTGCGCGAGTAATTCTGACTGAAACGCCCTCGAAAAGTTCATCAGAATCAGTACTGAATTCGCATCCATCGTAACATTTGATTAGTAAGCAGTTTTCTTGGGCAGTTTTTTTCTCAACCACTCCAACAAATGTTACTCCGTCACAGTCTGAATTTAATTACTGTTATTAATCTTGTTTGAAATAGAAAGTTTTTGATTGGCAAATTTATCACTAAAATAGTTTGGAATAAAATCTATTATCTTTTTCAATTTTACCACACTTGACAATTTTTTAATTTTTCTAAAATGCGTCGCTAAAAATCTGATAAAAACAAATATAAATAAGTAAGTGAAATAAATAATAATGAAAAGAAATAAAATTAATTCTTGAAATTAATTACTAATTATGACAATATCATTAATAATAGCGGTTATCACTGTGAACAGTTATCACGTAACCACGAATAGTTAACACGTAACCAAGTATTTTTGGTCTATCTCGTTAGACAAATAATCAGTTTATTATTAATTAAAGCGAAAAATTAATTCGCTGATAGACAAACTATTGCATAAATAATAAAATATCATTTTTGGTTTAAAAAAGATAACTTTTATTACACTGCAGTTGAGTGATTGTATGCAACGCTAATGCTAACTGATTCAGAAAATTTTTTAATTCTCAAATTATTTTGGTTATTCATTAAGAACACATTTAAATTGCTAAATTATTTTTGGGATGATTAATTATATTTTTATCATTTATAATTGAGTAGTTATGTCTCTAATGAAGATTTCTGTTTTCCATGAGGGTTCTATTAATTGTAAAGGATTGGACGTATAATAGGCCAAGGTTATCATATCTTTCTTTGCAAGGACGTTGAACAAAGTCAACAATAATGTCAAAGAAATATCTGATAATATCAGTCGACGTAAATAAAAGTATTCAAACCTTAACAAGTAAAAGTACTAAGTGAAATTTGAAAAAACACATCAAAATTATTAACTAATATATTTAGCTATTACTAGTTAATCATTAATCATAATTATATACTAATTTTTAGTATAGCATAAATTAATCAAATTTCGCACAATTAAGGATTTCTGACATATCACTACTATAAAATTTAAATATTAAAACAATTAAAAATAGTTCAAATTAAGTTTCGGAAAACTGCTAATTACTTATTGTATGCATTGAGGAGTATTTTACACGATAGTAGATTGAATTAAAGTTTTGTTCAACAGATCTGAAATAATATAACTAAATTGGAATGTGATAAATTGTTCAATTTTTCTTTATGCAAAATTGTTTGAAAAAACAAATTTTAAATTTTGTATTTTGAAGAATGCAAACTAAGCAAGCAAAATAATGCGAAATTAATAAAAATTATTAAAATTTATTTTATTTTCCAGTTTTGACTTTGTCAATAAAAAATAAAGAAAAATATTAATCTCAACTGGTATTTTTAAAGATTCTCCTCACGTGTTTCTTAAATTTTTCACGCATTTATCAGTGAGTAGGACATTAATTGATAAGATTTTAACTTAAACATCGGACATTTATGTGAAAATCTGATCTTTCTTACTTGTTTTTGTGTTAATTTTCAAACTTTTAAAGTTATTTATTTTTCAAATATTATTTTGAGATCAAAATTCGGTAAAAGACAAAAACATACATTGTAAATTTTTTAAAAATTAGCAGAGAGAGATATAAGCAAAAGCTTTTAGAAAATGATAACAACCTGTTTGAATGTAAAAAGAAGTCTTGCTGCGCAAGCATTATATTATTCAAAATTTATATAATGTTAATGAATTAAATTATTTTAATGATTATTAGTAGGAAGAAAAGAATTTGTATTTAGGTAATATTAAGTCCAAAAAAAATTTTTTAATGGTATTGCTAAGTTATAGTATTACAATCACTATAAAAATGTGTGATTTCTTTACAACCTGGTATCTGAATTCGCAGTATACCTCAACTTCCTAGAGCATTAACTCAAAATGCAAATGAGCACAACACTCCTGAACTTTACTTAAATTTTGAGTCATCAATTAATTTAGATATTATTAATAGTAATGTAATGAAAAGATATTACTGAAACGCTAATTCATTTTACAACATCTCTTATAAAAAATTAATTACAAAATATTCCTAAATTAGTTCACTGTACTTAGAATGAATAAATTTTATTAGACTTTAGCAGCACTTTGTATTTTCAGGACCAGTTTGGTCAAGGCTGTTTTTATTCCCATGTATATATATCGTTGTAAAACTTAGCAAAAATGTTTTCGATTTCAAACTTTTAATCTGAAAAAAATTGAAATAAGCTTTTATTCAAAGTATTTTCGATAATTTTTTTACACAATTTGAAAATTTTGATCACTTTACTGCAGTAAAGTTTTATTATTTTTGGGATGTCAAATATTTAATTTTGATAAAACAACGCAATATTTATTGGCATTCAACTTTTTTGCAAAAATATTTTCACATTTCGATGAAGTACGAAGCCAAATCTGAAGAGATGTCTACAAAATTATTACAAAACAAAAATTATTTTAATATTTTGGTATTTTACATAAACGGAAAGACATTTTGTATTTGAAATATTTTAGTTTCAGCTAAAAAATTAACAAAATTGTGTATTGAATTTTCGATGACTTTACTTTAAAAAGAAGACTACTTGATGTTTTATTTTTCTGTTTATATAAAATACTTATGATCTGCTCAGAATTATTACTTCTATTGAATTAACTTTGAAATATATCAGTGCTATAAAACAGCAATGGATTCAACTACAAGACTGATGTGAATATTTAAGTAATTATCGAAAAATAAAATCTGAAAAATGAATTAGAACCAAATTTTTTAATTACTAAAAAATTTAGAAAAGTAATTAAAGAAATATTTCACTGTATGGCAAACTTACTGGTCAAGCTGCAGCAGATATGAAGGCATTGTTTTAGGTCAGTTGTAGCTCTGCTTGCAAGCACCATTGTTTTTTCAAGCATCCACCTTCGTTGATAAACTGTCAAGTTACCACAAAATACATCGCTTGCTATCGAACGTCCCAAGCAAGTAAGTAAGTACAAAACTGTTAAATAATAATAGCTAAAGATATGGTTTTCATTACTTGAAATCCCCATAGCTGTCTCACTATCAGAGATTCTGATTTTTGCTTACGAGAAGCACAGAAGTGAAATATTTAGTAATAAGTATAAGTAGCTTTAATGAGTTATTGAATATAACAGTAGTTAACCGAAATTGATACGTCACTTGATTCAAAATTATGAATCTAGCAGTTGTATTGGATGCAGAATCATAGACTTCAAAATTTAGAAGGAAAAATTGTAAATAATCAAATGATTATTTAGACTGAATGAACTTTAATTGCTCCATATTTCATATTATCAAGAAATAATCAAAATACGGAGTAAGAATCATGAAGCATCAATTCTTAGCTCGATAAACCTGAAGAAGACGATTTAAATCAGTATAGCCTAGTGATTGGTTTAGCTCATCTCAGCTGCATCAGTTGCATTAATTAGTGATTTTTTGAGCTAATTAGTCTTAAATATTTTACACGAATTATCTCCAGAAGTAACAGGTCAAAATAAGTATTAGTAATTACTCTCATTAATGCAGTAATTTTAACGTTAGATTATATGAAGGAAATGAAAAGAAAGGAAGTGTAATATAAGAAATGAATCAAATCGGTGCCTTAGAAATGAATACCACACGGACAGGTGGAACTCATAATAATAGTTAGCTCAGTGAGAGGTCACACTCTAATGGTTGACCTCACATGACCCACCTATTTTACTCTACTTTCTCTTTGAGGCACAATTAAGTAGGATATACAGGTAAAACAAGCAAGAAAATAATCATTTTCTAGTCACTTCCCTAGCTAATAATTTTTTTCGCAGAAATTCACAAAGAATTTAAGTCAAATTTTTCAAGAAAAAAATCTTATCATTTTTGCTTACATTTTTACTTAATTATGCGGAAAATTTTCAAACTTTTACTCAAATAAAATGCAATTAAAAAGTGCTATGGCAGTAGTAGTCAATGAAGCAAAACAATTTTGGAAAACTTTTAAGCAAAATATTTCAAGTAAGTAACTTGCGAGTTAGACACGTAAATAAGTATACTTTCTGGGCTATTAACTCTTTCCCTCTGTAAATAGTGAAAGTAAATGAACTAACAATAAAATTGCTTATCTCTTTTACCCATAAACCTATCAAATATGTCAGAGTTTTTAGTTTTAGCATACTAATGTACACAATGTTTGCATACTCAGCACTACCTACACCTACCTACCTACCTATTCAGTAACAAAGCACTAATTCTACTAGTCAACACTTTCTTTTCACTTTTTGTATTTTTAGAAAATAAAAATAAATATTTGAAAAAAATTGCTATTAAATGAGTATAAGTCTAAAACAGTTCAAAATATAGAAAGATTTGAAATGTTTCACTTATCAAAGCTTTGAAAATACAATAAAAAGTATTGAGACAGAGAGAAAAAATTGTCAGTTTGTCAGTAAAATATTAATGGATAGCAAAATAAAATATTAATAAATAGCAGAATATTGATAAATAGTGAGCAAAACGTTTTTAATAATTTGTTGGAAGTGAAAATAATTAAATAATTTTTATTTCTCTCCAAGTAATGTCATACAAACATCAACTTGACCAATTTCATTAATATAATGGACCATTAAATGCAATACTATGTACAATAAATAGCATACAAATGATTTAAGCGTTTTATTATATTTTCATTGTATTTTTAATAGGTTTTCTCATTGTTTCAAACTGTAAATTGTTATTGTGCTGTATAATTTTTTAACAGACAGTAAAAAATTATTACACTTCTTTTCCACAAATAACAATTTATTCAACAATTATGTGATTAGAGTATTCAATTTCTGACTTGCAGTTGCAATTTTGCCCACTCTCATTACTACTTACTGTAATCTCAATTATTAAAAAACAATTTATAGCACGTAAATAGAAATGACAGTCATAAAAGTAATAAAGTAATATTAGAGTTAAGTAATAATTGTTTAGTTCTATTTTAATTTTATTACAAGTCATTAAGATAGCCCTACTAAGACGAAAAGGACATGCAATTGTACCTAAGCAATTAAATTTCATTTAATGTCAAACAGATGAATTTATAGCGAAAACGACTGCATAATTAATAATAATTAAAGAATTTTCAGTGTCAAAGTTCAAAATAAAATACATGTGAAATGATGGACGACCGATGAATTCTAAACCACTTATCAGAGTGTTTCTATTTTGCTATAAAATTAATGTTGGAAATTTCTTCAGCCCAATTATCCACTTTGACACTTTTCTATCTGAGCAATTCTTACTTGTACTCGTAACATAATTAAACTTCTTCACTTGTCAATTTCATAGAAACTACGCAAAATTTGCATATCCAGTAAAATAACAGTTATCAAAACTTATGCATCTTCCAACAAGAATATCCCCTTATATCCCCTTAATGAGAACATGATAAGATCAAAATGCATTCGATTTATACGAATAATATAATATAATAACGTATTTATATTATATTGCAATATAATAGGAATATATAATTATTATATCATAATTTTAAAGAAATTATTGTATTATACATTAAGTATACATTATATTGCAGTACACATAATATAATATAAGTCGAGTACTATATATTACTACATCTTATATGCAACGATGTATTTATCGAAAATATATGAAATAGTAATTGGCTGCAATAAAAAATTTAAAAAAAAAACATCGTATTACTTAATTAGATTCATAATAAATGAATAAATAATTAATATTAACATGTTAAAATGCAGAAAAAGTTTGAAGGCTAATATAAGACTCATTTAGAAATATAATTTTTAGTTATTATTTAATCTCTCAGAATTCTTTTAAACTCAATTTTCAATTCAGAACTTACTTTAATTTCAAATACGAATAATTTTCTGATTCACTGATTCTGATCAAAAAAGACATATAATAGGCAAAGGGATGAATTTCTTTTGGCACTGACTTAAATTATATATGAAAAATTTTTTTAAATTATGTCAGTCTTTGGTATACTAAAATTAAATTATTCAATTTCTTACATTCCATTTATGCCGAACAAATTGCTTTTGTTGCAATTTTGTAGATATATTTGAATACGAATTTTTATAAGACTAAATTTGAATAGAAAGTCAGCATTTTTGTAAAATATTATATAATACTCTTTGTTAAATAACTGCTCAAAATTTGCAATTAAACTGAGATTCGCGCTAGCTAAGTTTGTTAGCATTTTTTTAATAAATTCTAATTCAAAAAATTGAATGGATTAGAATTTATAAAAAATGATACTAAGCCTTGTCGATTTTTAATTGCTACAATTTTTAATTGCTACATACATATATGCTTTCTTCAAGACTGCTATATACACATATATGTATATATGTTTACTTAAATTATGCTGCGAAACATAATTTGAAGAGATTACTTTTCCTTTTTTATGTATTTGAAATTTCAGTATACGTAATTTCTTTCAGTAATGAAAATGCGATAATTTTTCTCATTTTATGCAAGAATGTAAGTTAAATTTAGCACAGTCTTGAAGCAAACAAAAGCATAAATACTCATTGCATTACATATATATTTAATTAAATTTGAAGTAGTATATTCATGTAATAACTGAAATAATTTGTAATTAAATTATAGAAAATTCTGATCTATTACTTTCTTTTTAAGTTATGGTCAGAGAGGGAACTAAATTCAAAATGACAAGGATGATAAAAGTGGAATCAAACATATTCATATCACTGAAATTTGAAGCAACCATCGATGTGATGTTTCGAAGAAAATATAACATCAAAAATGATCAAAAGGCAGAAATATATTTCAGAAAACTTTCATCTATTTCAGAAATAAACGTTATGAAAGCAACACAACAAGAATGAAGAGTAGTTCGAGCGATAACAGTGCTGATATTAACAATGATAATGACAATAATAACATAACTTTAGGTATATGAGATTTGGATCTTCAAAATGCTGATAAACAAATAATAATATAGATGATAAATAGGTCATGATCGATTATGATGAGTGATCTAAAATCAAAGAAAAATGAATATTTTGATCAACTAAGATAATATCAAATTTGAGAAATAATTTCTGAAAAAGCGAAGCGTACATTCAATGTGATCAAATGTTTGTAACCATTGTGATAGAAAATATTGTAAAGTTAAAAATAACTTTGAGAAAATTTACAAAAAATGTATTAGTGAGAAATTTTCATATTTCTGAATGAAAACTTGCAAAAGATTCAATCAAAAATATTGAAATCAATTTTCTATTGAAAAAATCATTGAAATATAATCATGATATTACAGCAGTGTGTTCTGCTATAATACAAAATCAAATGATAATTCTATTACTTTTTAAATCAAAACTAAGCTCCAATTTAGGTAAGTAAATTACACAATTTTTCTGCTTCAATACTTTTAAATCAAATAATTTGTCTCAAAATATGTTGTTAATTTTGGAAGAAAGCAAGCTTAAATGTCAAAATTTTCAAGTATTAAAGTGAGTTTATTACAAAAATGAACAATAAATAAGTTCAAAAGTTTAAAAGCAGTCGATTGCTCCTTTACAATGCAAACTTTTGCTTATTTTCCTTTCAAATTTTGATCAAATGACAATGAAAAATCTGTGATCGCAAAGTCGAACTCCAACTGTGACATTTTCGTATTTATTTTTATTTATTTGAAAAAAATACATTGCAAATCAAAAGATTCTGAGCAAAATTTGATTTATTTAAATTCGCTCTGATCAATTTCATTCAATAAAGCAAAAATAAAATTTCAAAAAAAAAGACAAAAAAATAAAAAAAAATTAAACGAAATAAATTATTGAAATTGCAAAATTTGCATAAAAATTATTAGAAATGATCCTCAAAAGGTATTAATATGCTAAAAATATGCAAAATAGATAAAAGAACTAATAAAAATTGCAAAATTTAGAAAAGATATTTTGAAAACATTTTTGAACAAAGCAAAACTTGCTCACTTATGACTTGCTTTCGTTCGTGAATTTAACGTTATGAAAAGATAAACACTGAATTTGCTTTTTATATAAAACCTAAAATTACATTAATTACTTCAATCATTTGCTTTCATTAAGTGACAAATTTTGTTGATTTTATAAAAGTTAAAAAATAAAGCAAAAATATTTTGTAGAGATATAAGTTTGCTTCAAAATAAGCAGACAAAAATATTACTATTGTGAAAATATAAAACATACTATTAATTACAATAAAATAATACTAAATAAATTATAATATATTACGTCAGTTCATAGTTCAGGATTACTCGTCAAAATTAGTATTCAAAAATGAATTGTGTTTTTTAAGTAATTAAATGATTAAATTAAAAACTAATAACAGAAAAATACATTAATAATATAAGAAAAACATATAATACAAAATCATTTCACGAAATTTCTTCTAAGTTAAAAAAATAAATAATTCATTATTCTTATGATTTTTTATCTTTGTTACTCACAACTTATTTCTCGTTACGTCATTATTTTATTACTCACGTAATAAATTACCTGCTCATTTCATTCAACGTCACATGAATCCTTCCATAATTTGCTATAATATTTTAAAATAAAATTTAAAACTAATTTGGGTCACCAAAATTCTTCCACAATAAATGGTCATTTTTAATATTTAGTAATAGCATTTATTTCTTTGTTTGTAGTGGAATTCAACGGAGAAAATCTTTTCAGTTATCACAAAAAAAATACACAGAAGGCATTAGAATTTATTCAAATTTCGCCTATATTATTAAGAGTGAGTGCCACGTAAGTTTTTTTTTTCATTTTCTCAAATCTTTTGCACTTTTTCGTTAAAGTATTTATCGATGAGGTCAAATGCCACGATGATTTTTTCCGTTTGAGTCATTATTATTATTAAATGATTACTACTGAATTAGGAAGTGACTGTGAATACAGCTACAATGCTACAATAACACATACATTGAAAAAGTGCGAATGTGTAATCGATCTCAAAAAAAATAAATGATATATAAAAGGTCAAAGTTCAGTGCTCCAACTTGAAAGCTAAAATTAATACTAAGCTTAGTTAGATAGAAAATACACAAATCTTTGAAAAAAAAACAGAAAATGAACCATTCTACGAAGTATTTTTTTAAATGTTTTCTAAAACAAATCATAAATAGCAAAAGCCAATATTGTTTTAATTCACACAAAAACCATTAAAATATTTCATGCTGCTCAAAATGGAAATTTGCATAATTTTGCCTTTGCATTCAATAGATTTTCTATGCACATTTTATTTCAGGCAAAAATAATAATCATTTTGATTGATCCTTCTTAAGATTAACAGATGAAATAATATATTTTACCTGAATTGCTGAGCTCTAAAAAAGAATTGCATCTACTTAATTTATTTTGCCTGAAATACTTTATTCATTCCAAAAGTTACAGCAGAGCTATCGAATATCAGTAGTCTTAGTTACAAATATTAAATCTTATAAAATATTGAAGGTTTTTTTAAAAAAAAATAAAGTAATAAAGCTCTTGAAAATGTTTTATTAATTCAGGTATATGAATACTATAAAAAGAAATCCCAAAATCAGAAATTTTTGAATTTGTTTATGACATGGGATGGAATTAATGGGAAATGGGTAATATCTGCAAAAAATAAAATAAAATTAGAATCAAGAATAAGGTTAATCTGGGAATTAAGACAAAATGCAAAGACTTACAAAGTAAATACTTACCTACTGAGGTCTGCAACTTTGCAAAAAACAGATAAGATAGATGAATGTTCAGAATGAAATAATACTCTTTTACATTTAAAAGATCTGAAAATTAAAATGTAAAAGTTTGGTTTCAGAAGTTTTCATACAAAATAAAATTCAAAAAATGTAAGTCTAATACTCTTGACAATATTTTAGATTTTTGCTACAGTTCATAATAATCAAACACAATATTTTCAATTTTAAAACTGTTACTGTATACAATTTTTGTTTTGTTTTCACAGCAATGTGACAACAATTCTGACAGCAAATATTCAAATAATTTAAATTTATCTTACAAAGGAAATTATTATAAATTAATTGACAACTGCAAATTCAGAATTATTAAATTATTGTCTGACCAAATAAATTTGATATTTATGGCAAATTTTTTACACTAATTGTTTTTACAACAATTAAAAAGATATAGTGGCCAATTTATTGAAGAATAGATGAAATGAATAACAGTATTACTCTAATCATTTGAGAATGCTAGAAAATATGGATAAGAATTGATCAAAAAAATAATTGCATGTAATTAACAAAATACTTAATCTAAAACTAAACCTGAAACTACACCATTCCTTCATTACCAGAACAAAATCTCCAAATTAACTTTAATTTACTTCAGATCTTCATGGCTATTATCAAATTAATTCATTCAGTAAGTAATAATTCTCTACAATTATTTATGTTCGTTGATTTTTTGTCAATTTTTCTACTCTGAATTTCAGAAATTATTTTTGCAGTTTTTCACTTCAGAATTTAAACATAAAGCAAAGCCACTCATATGAAATAATACTATTACTCGCATTAAGCGTCAAAAACAAAAACTTTAGACGGAAATGCAACAAGAGTTACTACTACTTAGAACAAGAGTAACTAACACAAAAAAGTCACTTCTGATTAGGAAAGTTAAGTAAAAAGGTTTTGAGAAGTCTTGTGAAAGTAATCAGGCATTACTTTTGGCAAGCAAAAGTCTGAGACTGATTCTACGCAAAGACTTGGCCTTTAGCAGGTTCGCGAATCTCGGGAGTAATACCTTTTGAATTACTTTAAACCTCTGATATCCGAGCTTGTTGCCATGGCACAACTACTACTATTGCATTAGAAAATGACAATTATCAAAAACGTAAGAAATATTTTCTCTTTTATCAACTTTTAAATTCTTTTATTTTCATTTTTTCCAAGTTTATATATTTCAAATTCACTTCTAAATTTTACTTATTTGATCCCATTGATGATTGAAGCAAACTATTCATTATTGCTATCTGTCATAATTCTGGACTAAGAAACAGATCAGTGTAATTGCTACATGGAAGTCAGAACAAATCCTTCCTCCAGAAGCTCAACTTCAAGGAAAAGAGAACTCAAGAGAAGTCTTTGCTGTATCTTCATGGTTTCTTGTTCGATTTCCAAGATTATAACTTTTTAGAGCATCTAAATTTAAAACACAAATTCAGAATGAGTGAAACACAAGCATATTACTCATATGCTAGCTACCAAATAAATTCACACTGAATTCTTTTGATCACAAATTCTAGTGCTATTTGACGTTCAAGCAATCTACAGTTCTCTTTGAAATTAAATTCAGTGCCATTTGCTAGCAAACTTTCCCTTTTCAGAGAACAGAAAAAGTTTGAAGAAAATTAGAAAAGCTTTTTGGGAAGCTTTCAATTTAAATTAAGATTTGAATTTAGCCATTCGCTAATTTTTTAGCCTTTTCGTAAAATTTGACTTCAATACACTAATTTCATGGAACTGATGTGCTTTCCAATGAAAGTCTCTCACTAGTCAAAAAATTATTGTTATATTTTGATAGCTGACTTCATAAAGATAAATAAACAAAACTATCTTGTATCATTTATAAGCTGAAAAACTGAACTTTTGTAGCTTTAAGTATTGATAATTCTTTTAAGTAAATGCTAGTCTAATCCAAATTATTCCTGAGAACGCTGTAACGAGCTCAAAGGTCAGCTTCAATACGAAATATTTATTAATTTTTGGAGTTCAGGAAACTCATTAAGGAATAAACGACGAATTTAATCTAACTCCTTACTTTCTATTGATAAATTGTATTAAAAAGTATGTTCTGCATTTTTTTGTAGCTTATTTTTATATTAAATGCCTGCGAAACTTAACTTCGTTTTATTTTTCAATTCCATTAATTAGAAGAGAGTTAATAACTATAATGCACTGAATACAATTAAGCTAAATCCAAATAGCCATTGCTAAGGTTCGGATAGACTACTGCGATTATTAAGATTGAATTCTAAGAAGCATATATTGAACAAATAACTTATTATAAAAATTGAGTAAATAAATCAGATATAACCAAATTTATGACTGCAGCATAGGCATTTCAGAAAATCCTGAGTTCAAAACAAAGAGCCGTTAACATAAAAGCATAGCGGTCAAGACTAAGATAAAGAGTGGTCTGAAGGTCAAGATGGACACTACGATGATGACCAAGATCAAAAAGAGAATGCTCACAATTCTTTTCGAGTTTAAGCAATAAACTATTTGAAATTTTTTGACAACCAAATTCATTCTAACTTTGATCTATAAAAAACACATTATATAAAATCCATACTTTTACAAAAATACGATAGTTATTATTGCAAACACGTATTCATTAAATGAGCACATAGCACACGATAAAATAATGAAGCAACCTGAATAACCTAACATTAATAATGATGGATAGGGCAACAATAATAATGATAAATAATGTAATTATAAAGACTTAATAAGGCATAACTAATAATAAATGAACTGACCCGAACATAGTTATGAGAGAAACAACATATCTAAAAACTGCATAAAAAACACTTTTTGTGTAAGAAACTTTTTTACGTACTCTTACTTAAGTAATAAAAATATTAGAAATTTCAAATCATTTAAATGTTGCAAAATTTTTGATGTGCATTTTCCTGTTTGAGTTACTGTAATTGCTTGTAAGCTGTAATTTTTTATCAGTCAATTTTAAATAAAAGTTTGTAAGAAAACTGATCATTTCTTGATGGACAAATCTAATGGTTCTGTTTGTGGACAAGACTGATTGAAATTGTTATGATAGTCTTTGTGATAAATAGCAGAATTTTTAATCAACAAAATATCCCGGGAATTTAATATATCCCTAGAAAACCAAATAGGAAATGTCCAGACTGGTGTCTGCAATGCTGATTTGATAACTTGAGACTGAGGTGGTGATAAGCTTGTTGTTATAGATGTTGACTGATAAGTGCTTAATAATCGAGCTCGTTCTTGAGCTTCAAGTAAAGATGAAACTTTAAAGTACTTAGAACGACGCCCGTATCGTGAATCTGAAAAATTGTATTATCAAATGCAAAGGTGCTCTAAACTTTACAAAGTCTTAAAATTATGCATTACAAGTAGTTATCACTTTTAAACAATACTTTGTGGTGCCATTCCAACTTCAATGCATTTATTGAAACGACAAAACTTGCATGATGTTCGATTTCTTCCCTTAAATTGCAAAAATTAACCAGCATATAATTAATTCATAAGCTGTTAATTAGACTCAAAGTGTTCAAAGTTTAGTCTTACTGGACAATTTCGTATATTTTAAGCTTTAGATAATAATTAATAATAACTGTGTTGCAGTAATGATAATCCATAGTATTATTTACTGTATTAATCATGCATTTTGTATTAGAATATGATCAGAATAAAAATTACTTTACTTATTTAGCTATTTAAACAATAATCAAACTTCTTTTTAGGCTAAAAGCTTTTACTATCAGTAATTTGTTAGAATACAATTTAATTTAATTTACAATAACACTTTCCTTTTTTGATGATTCAAATCTAAACGTCATCATATTCAGTGGCTCCGATTATCACTAAACTAATCACAGTTGTAGTAATTCGCACATCACTAATTGTTAGGAAGGCTGAAGAATTAATCTGTTAAAAAAATTAATCTGTATTCCAACCTGAACATTGCATCTTCCACCGTTTTTGCAATATAATTTCATTCGTGTGCTTGGCATTCGATTACTATTATTATTACTATTATTATTACTGTTATTATTACCATTATTATTGATAGCACTACTATTGCCAGCTATGGCGTTTGCCTTTGAAGAAGGCTTGCAAGTTCGTCCAAAAAATGACTAAAGAAAAATATTTTTACTCTTTTACTTACGTAAAAAACTGCAATTCAATTCAAAGAATATAAGGGAATAAATTTTATTATCACAGTTATTAGACATATTTTAACAAATACTGAAGAATCTGTCAAATATTCAGTTTTATGCAAAAAAACTTGCAATTATATCATAACTTTTTATTATTAATTTATCATTTCTTAATAAAGATATTTTAATATTTATTTACCACTTATTATTTTTTGTAAAAAAAAATACTATATTAAGTAGATAATGAGTTTGCTCAACTATACATTATTGCTGAACTACAAATACAGACTGTTCCATAATGTAATGTAGTTGTCATTAATATTATACACTTACTACTATCTTTACAGTCTAATTAATCTTTTGTTTAAAGATATCGTAATTTTGTTTTTCATAGAATTCGTTTCATTTGCATTTACTTGAAATTGAAAAATTGATAACTGAAGAATTAGCACTGTCATTTTCTGATATTTATTAAACGAATTGAAATATTTGATATTTTAAACTTCAAATTCCACTTTAAAATTTGTACAGTCTTTTTTAATTTTTTCATTGTAACATTCAAATGATTAACTTTCCTTTATTTGCCTTAATTTTTTTAATTTGCGTTTCTGTTTTCAATAAACTGGAAAATTATCAAGTAATATACTTTTCTTTATGCTATTGTAACAAATACAAAAATCGCAATGTGCAGTGAATTGTATCACTTGCACTGAAATTTAAACTTTCTGATCACAAGTAAGTAGTATTATTTTGTTGAAGTATTTTTTTATTCACGAAAATACTGCGAAAAAAAAAAAAGATTTAAAGAAATATTAAGCATGCAATCTCAAAATCACTTGCATATTTTACAGTCAAACTCTGTCATTCACACTAAATTCTGCACAGTATTAAATATTACACATTTTTTAAAACGTATTTTATCATTTTCATGAATATAAATTCATATTTTTTAATTTTATGACTATAAACTACCTTTTAGGTGAATAATCTGAGCTTCTAAATATACAACTAACGATATCGCATATTACTATACAAGAAATATGGTTGTAAAATATCCTTGTTATAATTTTGTATGTATTTTGCCACCATTATTTTTGCTTTAGCAGTCTTATCATTATTATTATTATTACAATAATTTTCACAGCTCAATAATAATAACACTGTATATTGTTGCTTCTTTTTGCTTGCATTTAAACAGATAAAAAGTTAAGACAGAAAAAAAACTTACTTTGCAACCTTCGCAAGTAAATGCTCCGAAATGATAACCTCTGGCAAGTTCATTGCAAACTTGACAAAGAAATGTTACCTAAAATTGTTTACATTATTTGGATGGCAAAGGAAATGAATTATGAGAACAATTTTAGTCTCTGAAAAATTTATTACTAATTTTATTGCAAACTTTGATTAATAAAAATATATTTCAAATGAACTCTCGTAGGAATAACGTGATTCTACATCTTCAAATGATCACTCACTCACTCACACACACACACACGCACACAGTGAAATTACAATTTCAAAAGTTTGAACAATTAAAAATTTTATTACTTTCTTATCTATTGTACAACTAAAATTCAAAAAAAATTTAATCTGTCTACTTAAATTAGCACAACTAAGACAATACCATTGTTTTTTAAGTTCAGTTTAAGAAAAAAACTATATTTGAAAAAACTTTAAAAGTATTTACAAAGTTTTTTTCAAAAATACTTGAGAGAATTTGAAAAGAAAGAATGCTTACCTGAGTGGCAGTAAGGTGATTAACACTGCTCGTATTGCAATTAGTAGATTTACTGTTATTACTTTTTGGGTTTTTATTATCAGTCTTACTGATCTGATTGCTAATATTATCAATATTATTATCACAGTTTCTATTAGCGATCATTTCATGCATTGCACTTTAACAGACACTTTTTTCTCGTTCAAAAATTGTTATTACTTTCTTAATAAAAGAAACGAGTTGTTGTAATGAAAGTTTAAGAAACTGTAAGACAATATTCCTTCTGTTTTGTTTAGCGCTGTTGCAAATTGCAAGATATTACAGTTTGTAAGTCAATTTATTTTTTAGCAAATATTTATATTTACATTACTGTAATAATTGGCTGTTTTCATACTGCGCAATAATCATTGAGCTTTGCTGCATTTTAGCATTTTCATTGCTAATTGCCTAAACTTGGTTGTATTAACTCAAGTTCGTACCATTTAAGCATTTTCAACTCATACAGCAATAGAATTCGACGAATGGCATTATTTTGCTAACGCTTAAGTAGAATTAAAAATATTAGACAGAATAAAAGTTATTTTGATATTTATTATTGCCGTAAACTATAGTTATAATAATAACAGTAATACTGATATTAATGGTCAGTGAGAGCAAAAACAATAACTGATTATTACTAAAATAAAAATTATAATTAGAAAAAAGGTTAATTACAATTATCTTTCAACATAAAGTCATATAAATATAATATTAATAATAGTCAGTTGTTGTAATTATTAATATCGTTACTATTAATATGTAATATGTATTACTAGTATTCCAGAAAGCAAACTGAAATACGTATGGATTGGCGAAGTCAATATCGAAACTTAATTAAATTAATATTGAAAATTATAATCTGATGCAGACAGTGTTAGATAATTGAAAATAATGGATGATGCAATCAAATTAAAGAAATGAAAAATAGAACAACACCATAAAAAATAATTCAATTTGTTATTGAATCTTATTAAAATTTGGCCTGACTACAAATTAAATTAAACAGAAAATGTTTATCTGTTATAAAAATTGCTTGAAATCTAAAATATAAAAATAAAATATGCAAATATTAAAATGATAAATAAATTAATATAGTGAGAATGAAATTGAAATTGTAATTATACATCTCTTATTATATGTTGAAAATATACTGAAATTAGCAATATTTTACAAAATTAAAAAACATTTCGTATATGCATTTTGAAATTTAAATGAATAAATAAACACTTGAATTAGTTAAAAATTAATATTTCAAGTATGCTAGTATTTAAAACAAGTATTTAAGTACAAGTTATCTGATAACATACATGTGACTGAACTGATATCAATGAATGTAATCATTAATTTACTTAAAAAGAAAAATAACGTAAATGTTTGCTGTTTGTTCAGTTTTAGGCAGTGAAATGATAAAAAATGCAAAAAGCGAAAAATAAGATTGAACGATACAATGACGCAAGTATTATATTACAATTTTAGCTTTTAGAAAAGAAAACTTTTAAATAATATTTGTGAAAATTAGAAAGTGAAAAGTATAATAAAAGTTCTGATTAGAACAAAAAAATTCTATTTCTTACTTTTTTTCGCTCAAAAATAAAAGACGCAAAACAATTTATGACTGTTAATTATAATTTTTTTAAAATTAAACAAAAAAAATCTTACAAAATTAAAATTCCATTTTTGTTTAGTTTATTATTTTAGAAACTTTCGTGCAACTTTGTGCGACGTATCAAATTTGTCTCAACAAAAATTAACCAGAAATCAAAAATTTTTTTGGTTATTTCAAAGATTATGTCTGCCTGAATGAAGCTTACTTGAAGTAAGCTTCAAGCAAACAGATAAGCCTTTAAAATAATCTCAGATCTATACATTTTCAATCTTAACAACATTCTAATAAAATAATAAATTAGTTCACATCTCTTAGTTATAAATTAAGATCAGTTCATTTCAGTTATCAAAGCATTCCGTAAAATATTACAAGCGTTGACTGTATTTCAATAAGACGGTAAATGCAATACAGCTCTTAAACAATATACGATGTGCTTTGATTGTAAGTCAAACATCGTCATATCAGTGAAATAATCACACAAATACATTCACAAGTCGCAATTTATAACTTTTACCATAATTAATCTCATAAAAATCAAAATTCACATTGAAATATTATTTAAGCGTAGTGTGCATAAAATTACAACCATACAATAAATTCAAAAAAATAAATAAACAAAATAAATAAAGCGACCAATATCGCAAAACATCATTGGTACCGATCACAAACATCTGCTCGTTAAGTCATTGCTAATTTTGCATGACTGAACTATCTGTTGCAAATATGCGTTAATATTTGATTCTTCATCATTATGATTTATAAGAAAATTACCAAATTGTTGTCAATAATATTTCAATTCTGACAAAGTCTACGCGAAATGTTATTAATTTTTGTTCTATTTTAAAATCTTTTCCCAAATAAATAAAAATTGTTGATTTCTTTGAACTGAAAATTAGAGATTAATTATGGAATATCATTAATTAATTAATTAATTGTGTTCTAAATAATTTTTTTTCTCGAAATTGATGAAACAATCTGCATCTCTGTTATTTTTCATTTATTATATCGAAAAATACTTAATGTTAGCCAAAATTGTAAAAATGAATGAATGAATAAATGAATGAATAAACGAATGAATGGATGAATGAATGGTAAGCGCGTAAGTATATCAATGAGCCACTACTACTACTCCTAGCATCATTGGAACAGTCAAGCATTACAAACAGAATAATTTTGAAGATTACAAAAGCAAAAATGGAAGAAAGTATTTGTTGAGGAGTACATTGTAAAAATGATTGAAAAATTCAAACAAAAAAAGAAGAAAAAAAAGCAACGAAGAAAATGTTTAGCTATTAATTTTGACGATAGATAGACCGATAGATAGATAGACAGATAGATAGACAGATAGATAGACAGATAGATAGATAGATAGATAGATAGATAGATAAGATAGAAGAATGAGGTCAGCCAGCAATAAATGACAGAAAACGCAATATAATACATACATACCAAAAATAGAATAGTTGAAAGTTTGTTTCATATCAAACGGAGTAAACACATTTTATTACAATTTCAGTTCACTTTTTTTTTTAAATAAAAAAGTAAAAAGTTAGATTGAATCTTTCATTGCTAATAATTTGCTTTCATTTAATTTAATTATAAATACATTAATTAATTAATTAATTAATTAATTATCAATACTCAGTTATTATTACTGTAAACTTTTCAGTCATTGTCATTTGATAGCAATAGCACTAAGTAAGTGATTATTAATAGTAGACTTTATTATTAAAACAATTTTGATTAAGCATTAAAAAGAATTAAATGACTAAGCAATGTCAAAAAATGTATTACAAAAATATGAATAACTGAAAAAGCGATTAAGAATAGTTCGCATATTGAAGGATAAATTAGAAAAGTAATCAAAAGTATACAAGTGTTACATATACATATTCAGTCATTTGCATAATGATAAATTTTCCCTGAAAAGGCTTGATATTAAATAACATAAAATAATGATATTACCCTAATAATATAATGCCAGCAACATTGACAGCACTACTGATTTCAGAATTATTAATAAGACTAATGAATATTACCGTAAAAGCAACAGATAATACTGAACATTTCTTGCTGTGGTCATTATCATAATGGTTTTATAAATACAGTGTGAAAATGACCGACAAAATGACACCATTTTCAATAATAGCTTTCTGTAAAATACAATAATGATAGTAATAACGATGACGATAATATTTTCAATAATAAAAAGGTCATTAATAGCGGTAGTTTAAATAATACAAAGAATGATAAAAATAATGATAGCAACAGTAACAATAATAATATCATTACTGTTATAAATATTATTACTGATAATACTAATAATAGAAAATGCTAAAGAGTACAGTAATGCGAAAACAAGGGCATATATACATATATACATACATACATACATACATACGTACATACGTACATACGTAAATGCATAAGAAAAAGTGAAACAAGCAAAGTGAAAATGAAAGTGATAACAACTGACGAATAAATGAAATATTGATTGTACTCAAAAACAAAACAAGTACTGAAGTAGTAAATTTCCATACGGAAAGAGTCAAAAATGAACTAGACTGAAAGTCAGTACATGTATTTATATTAAATTAATAAAGCTATGCGTGCATGCGAAACGCAATAGATAAGATAAAAGAAATGAGCAATCGTTGTAATTCGATCACTAATAATATCTAACGCTTCAATGAACACTGTCAAGCATACTGTCTGCTTGAATTTTCAAGTATTCAAACGATTAAGACACAGCTTAAATGATAAAAAGTATTAATACAAAAAAGAATCGAAAATACAAAACTGAAATAAAAACATTTCTGGAGCATAACACAAAATGATTAAGTATTTAATTTAATTAAAATTATTAAAAGTGAACGAAAAATCAAATCTTAAATGGAAAGAATCAAAAAAAAAAAAGCGCAAATTTATTTCCGAAAAAAAGATAGAAGAAAGTAGCAATTTATTCGCTACTTCTCTTTCTACTTTCTATTTTTTTCACTTGACATAACCCTTTTTTTTGGGCAAAAAAAGATGAAACTTTTTTGCGCAATTATTCATTTGAGCTAAAAATGCAAAGGTTACAAATTATAACGATTCTTTGCACTTACAATAGATGAGAAAATGATTTCTAAAATGGAAGCGATCCACTTTTTTAACCTTTGAGAAGGTCACTTAATAATTTTCTACTTCTTCTATGGCCGCTTACTCAACGGTTTGCTTTGTATATCACTTTCAGAGGTAGCAAAATAATAATCGAGTTTGTCGCGACTCATTGATATTTATATAAATTTAAAAAAAGTGATGCAAATCGTTTATCTTTCTTTTCTTTTGTAATATTACTGTGAGAAAATTTTCGCTCAACTACAAAATTTACAGTGTAGTACACATTCAAATATAATATGCATAATGTGCTTAATCTATTAAACAACAAACAGTTAATTTATATACAAAGTAATTTAAAATTTAAAATTCATTACACTTTTTTCAATTAATTACAAATTGGCGTATTTTGTTTTTTAGTACTAAATATTATATAATTATAACTGGAGAATTTTAATTTCCATAAATATCAAAGTTCAATATAGTCACAACCACTGCATTACTTGTTTTAGTCTTTTGAAAAATTCTGAATTTTTTTGAAATTTTGCATTGCAAACCAGAAAAAATACAATTTTTCTGTGGATTTGATAATTTTGCATATATTTTCTCTACTTGATCCAATCAAAGCTTCTTGATATAACTGATTCAATTAGTTGCCTATGATGTAAATTAATCATTTTTTAAATAAAAATGTTAGTAGTATTATGTATTTTTTATATATATAATCCTTTATAAATAATTAAAACAAAAAGATTGTTTTTTAAATTAAAATAGTTTGTAACTAATTAAGGAAATGCAAAAAAACAGTCTAGAATGACAGCATCTTCATTACATATATATTGTGCAATCTTAACAACAATTAAACTTTCGCTTATTTTTGTGCACAAAAATTTTTCATCTTCAACTTTTTGCTGCTATACAGACGCTTACTAATTTTGTACTGCTCAATTATTTGAAAACCGAAATATTGCATACTCGTAAATAACATTTTATCAATCATTTTATGATATCAGTACAGAACAAATAAGGCCATAAAAATGAAAATATTATTTGAAATGATACATTTCTACGGATTAACCAGAAGTGCTGAACTATAATAGAATAAAGTGTAAAATTAGTCATTAAACATTCGAGTATGCTTGAAAAGTTTGTCAGTGTTAATTTTTTAATCTAATTCTAAAACTGTGCTGCTAGCATAATAATACAGAAATGTGAAGGAACGATCATTTGAATAATAAGCATTGCATTGCTATATTCATATTTTGTTTTCGAATGACATTTGAAATAAATTTCTGAAAATATTTCCAACAAACACTAAGAAAGAAAAATTTGATTTGATTTGAAACTAAAGTTTTGAATATTTCATATAATCATTTATGAAAATTCTGTTTTTCTTCTTAAACTGGATTTACAAAGAATAGAAAAAACTGAATGCATTCTATTTTAAAAGCAGTTATGAAGAATACCATACTAATATTGTATGCGTGTCATTGTATTACTTATCTTTATATACAATAAAAATTTGGTAATAATTTTATTTTAATATTCTACTTTTGTTTAATCAAAGCTAATTTTTAGAATTTTGTTGGTTACAAAGCACACATTCTCATTTACAAAAGACAACATCATGTAGTGTTGTATCGTATTTTCTTTGTGCTTATCATTACATTTGACTGATTACTTTAATAACTTCCAACTTTCACATAAGATTTCATTCTTTAATTACTTAATTAGTCATATTAAATGTTTGAACATTTTTGTTTCGTTTGTAAAATTAGTCTAATCCGTTATATAAAATTTTTTCGTGTAATAATTATTTTGCAACACAATTTATTATAAAATAAAATTAACTTTCATGAATAATAATGATGTAGTTCTTACTTCCTTATATTTGGGATAGAAGTTGGAATATGATAAGAAGATGGATAAAAGGATGATTATATCGAGATAAAGAATGCACTGTAAATTCAACGTTGGCACGCATAGTGAGTATCAAATGAAGAGGAGAGATTGATCAAATGATCAATCTCGCATGGATCTTCGCAAGATTACTATTTCATTCGAAATGATGGAGGATATAAATGCAAAGATTTATTCGTCTTACCATTCATTTTATGATGATTATTTCGTTTAATTAATTACTGAATTTGCAGTTTATTTAATAGTCTCATTTATAAGGCTAACATTTAACAGTAAAGTTGACTTTAAGTGTATTAAATCATTTGCTTTCCTTTATTTTCACTTCAATCCCAAACATTTCTAAAGTATTTGAAATATTTTCAAATTGCAACTTTGAATTTATTACGAATGCGCAAATAATGAACATTTATCCTTATCAATTGCTTCAGGATGTTCTTTTTTTTGACGTGTAAAAAGGACTGATTTCAGTTCGGAATATCCGTTTTCACTTCCACAATTACACGACTTACGTATGTGCGTAAAACAAGTTACTCACACATATCACTCATTACTTTCTACTAATATTATCTGGCACTATGCGTTTCAAATACATGCAAGTGTGTATGTATATACGTGAATGTATTTGATATAAAAAATGAAAATATTTTTTAAATTGGGAAAAATTTGTTCATATCGAATTATACTCTTTCTGTACGCTTAATTTTGTTTTACAATTCATTCCCTTAAAAGCAACCTAATATGCGATTATTAAACTAAAATACTTTTTAAGTCTTGTTATCATCAAAGAAAGCTTGATTGCAGTTTCACATTTGGGCAAATATTTTTAGTGTAATGAGAATTTTCCAGGTTATTATTTTATACATAATAAATGCAATATTTGAATGAAAACTAAACTACTCTTACCTCAGAAGTCAAACGTTCTTAGTTTGAGCTAAACACCAGCATCTGTCTTGCTTTGCTTTGCTTTGCTTAAGCAGAGGGATGCAATAAAAAAAGCAACCTTGACAGCCACAGAATAATTTGATTATAATATTATTAAAAATGAGCAAAGAATGCAAAAATGTGAAAATTTGGTATGCAAAAAGAGTTAATTACGGTTATGAGTGAAAATTATTATGATAAGAGCCGCATAAATCAGTTAAATTTAAATTTTGAACAGTTTATGCAAGAATAAACTAACAAATGTGCTATTTATGAATATACTTTGAATGATTACTTCATGCCCTCAATTGAAGTTAACACAAATTCGTGTTAATTTTGTAATGAAAAGATATTTGAATACATTTAAAATGTCTTCTTCATTCACTCACAATTCTCAACACATTTTAGATATTCTACAAATTTTATCTCAAACTTCCTTCCTTATTTTCAGTTTCATTTCTAACATGTAATTACTTACTTTACTTTTAGTTTTTCTTACAATATTTATGATTACTTCATGTCCTCTACTGAAAATTAATCAAAACAAGCTATAACTGTTGCACTTATTAGCTTATTTGCTTCATTAATTTATTCATGTATATCAATACTAATTCAATAATAAAAATTAGATGGAACTGATTGATATTCTGTTATTGAAAAAGTGTATAATGATTGTACGTTTGTATATTTTTAATTATTTATTCGAAGCAAAATCGCAGTAAAATTTGAATTCTGTTATTTAAATATTTGCAATAACAACAATTACAGAAATATCCTTTACGAAAACATGAAGACTGTATGCAGTATAGTCGCTTACGCAGCAGTTACATTAAGTAATAACAGTAATGCGAACAGTATGCAATCAAATTGAATTTAATTTAACACTTATTCCTAATTTCAAGCCTTCAATAAGCATGAAAAACCTGTCTTGCCAAATCTGTTCGACTAGTTTTGCTCATTCCTACGAACACTTTCACTAAATTAATTAATTATCTCTAAATACAATTACATCACAAAGCCGGTAACTGTTGCACAAATTGCTTTTTTATTAAACTAAACTTTGACATTGACTGCATTAAGCAATCAGCATCTAAGTATAAACTTGAAATTTTCTCTTCACTCTCTGATTATTAATTATTATCAATTAATTTATTTATGATATAAACAAATTACAAGCATTCATAGTGGTAGCAACTATTCTACGCTTTGTTTTCTCAATATGTGCACAATATCGTTACTTATTATTATTATCAATGTTCCTTAATGAGTACTTTTTTAAAAGTATGCAAATTTTTATATACAATGTCTAATAGAGCAAGCGGATATTCGACAACTGTGTTTGGAAGACATTAGACAAAGAAGTAAGTACTGCAACAACTTTGTATGTATATTTCAAAATGCAAAGAAAGTTATCACATCAAAACTCGACTAGTAATACAATAACGAGCGATAGCGATATAAGTATGGATGCGATCTACAGCTGTTTTAACTTAGTTGTAAGTTTAATCTACAAACTACAATCAAAATGATCACTTTATCTTGCAAAATTTTAGAATTATGTTTACATATCAAATACTGGAATGAGACATTTTAGCTTTAATATGAAAACTTTAAGTTTAGTTCAGGATTTAACCTGCGAAAAAACTTGCCGAAAAGTAAAATTTACAGAGCAGTGTCAGATTTGTGGTGATAACCGGAGTACTGTCCACTTTAACTACCATAGCCATAGTTATTATGTATATACGACCGGCCATTCTAGCAGCAATTATACCGTTAGCAGTAACTGCCACTACACTCTACAGTATTTTACAACGGAACGATATTTATCTTTGGCCTATTATTGGTATTTCGGTAAGGTACTAATTAATTTCAAATACAGGATAGCAACCAACTATTCTCTTCTTAATAATAGCATTATTATTAATACATATATATAAAATACTTGTTTGAAGATTCTTTTTCCAGTCTTAATTCTGATCAATAGAAATGGTCAAAATTCAGTACTGTCCACTTTAACTACCATAGCCTTAGTATATACGAATTAAGACTGGAAAAATTCTGAGTGACTTTTTTCAGTCTTAATCATGACCATTTCAAATGACCAAAACCGAGACTGAGAAAAGGGCTACAAAATTTTTATGATTGAAGTTAGAAACTCCATTTATCGATCTATTTGTACTGTATATGAATAACTACTAATAACGCAAAAACTCAGAATTCTGAGTGGTAATTAAAATTGCTTATTAGGCACTCTTTCTATTGTGTCCTAATTTGTTACAGTTTTATAAACTAACACACTATAGACTAAGCTTACTGGTAATTGACTACCAGAAGCTAAAAATATTGACATAACTTATATTTCAAATTTCATTCCTACAAAGAATCTCCATATGAAAATCTTGACAAATTCAGAATAGATATAATAAGTAAGATTTTTTGAGACAACTCCATAAACCTTGTATCAAATGCTAAAAACTAATATAGTGCAGTGAAATGTAGTGTGAAATGTAGATCAAATACAGATTTTCGACACTTTTATTGCGCTACAAAAAGCATACTTAATGTCCAAATTGTGGGAAATCTGATATCGATATGCGAATTTAGAAGTAAGAAAAAAGAAAGCTTTCGGAATCAAGTTGGATAAATAGGATATGCACTGCATTTCACTCTTACTTTTGAATTTTCATTCGGCTTGCACATTCGTTCTTTCACTAAAATTACTAGCTTACGCCGAAACTCTTCAAAAATAGATTCAACTAATCTATTATATAATATCTAAAGAACTGCCGAAATACTGGGAAAATAAGCTGTAAATTCCTGAAAGATTTTATGAGTATTGTAAGATTTACACTTTGTAAGATTCTCGAACATGTACAGCAATGTCATCAATGATGAGAAATTTAGACAGAAATCTCAATAATATATATTTACACTTCCAAGAAGCGAAAAGAAGCAGTGGACCATGAAGATAATGTCCTGCAACCCATTGTTGCAATGCTTCTGAAGGAACGAAGACGAGACAAGGGAAGAAAGTAATAAAGAGTGACAGCATGGGACGAATAGAGAGGAAGAGTTAAACGACTATTGCAAAAAGAGTTGGAAACCAAAAGGAGAATGCTGTGTTGTGTTACAGTTAGGATACCAAAAGTTTGAAAAGAAAATGCAAGATGAATGGAAGGAAACAGCATCTGGAATCATAGTAGAAAACAATGGGAAAACAGATGAGGTTGTGAAAAGCTCCATGAAAGATACAAAAGAGCAATCTGTCAGAGTACCGAAACCAGGAACTAGCAAGATGATTGCGCTCAAAGTACTCAGTCGAGGAGTCGAGGTTCCGTAGAACAGCTGGCAGAAGTGCTGAAGGCGGTTGTTCACTGTTTCGGGAGGATGCAGCGAAAAAAATGGCCTTTATGTTATTCCCTGTATTACGAGAAATTCTTGTGTGCGATTAAACTAGCAAGCGAATTACTAGCATTGCAGGTCGTTCATGCTCACAGAAACGATTCTTAGAAGAAACAATGTACCTGACACCTACTTCGAGCAGAATGCGTCAAATGAATCTGAGGTTTATCTAGACATAACACACAAGTACCTTATACTGATGCAAGAGACCCAGGGACGTGAGATAAACCAGACAAAGTTGATGCAGAAAATAATCTCGGAGAATGTTGACCCGCTTATATATAATTGGAGTGGTTCATAAGGTTGAGCAGAGCAGTAGAAATATGCTTCTCCAATTACATAATCTCGTGAATACTGCGCTCATATCTACTAGGAAAAACTTATTAGCAGCCCAGAAAACGTTCTTGTACAGTAAAATAAGGCGAAAACTCGTCATGCGAAGACATCCTGGTGTACGGCAAAAAGCGACACGAAATACTCTCATAGAAGTCGGCATCACTGTTCAAGACAGGTTGATAGCAGTCGAGACGAGAAGAAGCGAAAGTATGATTTACTGACTAATAAACTCCGGGCAGAGATAAATTGCAAAACGAAAATAATTCCATATGTGATGACTTGGGGTGGGATGATGACGAACTTCCATAAACGTTATACGAAGGAAATCAGTATATCTGATCACGTTGAGACTATGCCGTTCCAATCGATAGCATTCAAAAAAACGCTCTAAAGCAACTTATCCATCATCGCCGTGGATTCAGCGAGGACGAAGCAGCGGAGATCAGCTCAACAGAACTCAATGCTGGGCGAGTGCAGCGAAAATGCCAGAAACAATAATGGATAAAAGAAAAATACCTCCGTGTGATATTGATTTCAGATATAAATTATATATATATATATATTAACAAAAATGGTGAACTACTATTCACTCTTAGAGAATTAATATCAGTGAATAACCGATTTGTGACACAAGTTTGAGCCACACAAATAAATACTCATGTGAGCATTATTAGAGTATTGCACTGCATTAAGTAATGAGAATTCTACTGACGATCACAAGAGTTTACACACTTGAAAACATTCCAAATTATTAGTGCTGTTCTTGAGACGAAGACTTTGAATAAATTTTTCATGCATTCACTGAAAATAAATTTTTACTTCATATGAATCAATCTTTCGCTTTATTTCATTTGATTTCAGTGGTTCCACGTAATTTTTACGCTGTATTTCGACTTAATCTTCATATACTTCTTCATTTTCAAGCCGAATTATATAATAATGATTCTCAACTGGGCATTTGACAGTAAGTCGCTAATGTCATCTTGAAAGACTTTTTTCGCAAAACCTATGAATTAGTTTAAGAGAAGTGTAAGTATTTAAATCAGTCAAATCGTTTTCCGTTAACTTTTAAGTTAATATAAATTGATGACATATGGGATAAAAATTAATAACAGTCTAAAGTCGGTGACATCCGACAAAACCGCAATTTACTACAAAAGTTAGAAATAAATTTAGATCTATGAACTTGACCATTTCAGAATCCTACCTCAATATAAAAATTTTAACAAATTTCAAGTTGAAATAATTGTATTCCAGCATTGTATACGAAGAAAACAACCTCCTACTATAAACAATGCATCATAATTCTGCTCTCAACCATAGCGTTTGGATGGTTTAATTTATGGCAACTGCATATTATGCTGAAATTCAAGAAATTTCTACGGCGTCAAGAATACAGTGATAAACCTTCCCAAATAATTTCTATAATGATTGAAGAAACAGACTCTTTAAAGTATTGAGAAGGATAACAAGAGTATGCTCCTCTGAACATCATAATTTAAGACGAAGTTGCAAATCATGTTGTGGAGTTGTGGAATCATAAGGATAATGATCGGCAAATCTCATTAATATCCAGAAGATTAATTATTAAATAGAACATGATAATTTGAATCCTTTGAGATGAATTATATTCTGCAGAACAGCATTTCCATAAGTATTAATTTAGTCTAGAACTAATTATGTTGAATTGCTGAAAATGATCATTAAAGTAGTTCAATGCATCATCAATTACACTATTTAAAGTGAATTCTCACTATGTTAATATATATTATTTGTAGAGAACTATATTTTTTTGGTTGCTACACAAATTTATCATTTCCTCACTCAGAACTAGAAAAGAAAGATGAGAGCGACACAAGAATTAGCGTACAAATTAATCAAAATTTAATAACCATTAGATTGGAAATTAATTTCGCTAAAAAATTATTCTCAAGAACAATATTGCCAGCAATTTAAGCGCGCAGAATCAAGTAAATTATCCACTGACATCAGAGTAATCTTCAGTCATGTAAATATCATTTGCAGAACTACCATTGTCATGTGTAAAATGAATTCATAATCACTATGAATGCTTAAAATTGTAAGCACATTTGTGTATTACTTGAGCGAAACTTTAATTTGTAAACTTTTAAAGAAAGATCTAGATGTAATGCCTTGTTTATTTCATACAGCCAATCAAACATATGACACACGAGACACGTATAATATTGTCGTAATTAATCAAATGTTCTTAAAAAAACGTAATTGTTACATATATATATTTTCTTACGTAGCAGAGTGAATGATTCAATACCATAAGCTCAAAGCAATTAAGGGGAATAACTAGCTCGTTGTTATTGTATTTTCATAGAGATAATAATATAAATAGTAGACTGTAAGAGATATTAATATAAATAGTAGACTGTACTTTTAGAATGCATCAAAAAATTTCTCTCTCAAATTTATTCCGTTTCCAAAATAAAGTGAAAAGAGTCAAAGAAGGATGAATTTTTGGCAACTGAAAAGAAAGTAAGAGGTTTTGTGGGCAAAAAAGAGATATGCAGTCTTCTCGGCGATGATTTATTGCTTTTGTCTTGCATTTGCTAAGCAGACATTCCAATACTGTATGTACGTTGTAAGAGACAGAGTAGGCTCAAGTTATTCGAATGGATTCTGTCACTTTCCCTTCAACAATGGCAATAAGTCATTACTGTGATATTTAGCTAAATTCAACTGCACTGACTTCTTCGATTTCAATTCAGTTCAGTTACAAATGTGAAGATTAAACATTGTTAGAGGTAGCATTTGGTTCTTGCAAGAATAGTAAACTGAAAAGAAAACTGTTTCAAACGCTATGAAATATTAAGTCTTCATGCACCTTGCAGTGTATTAAAAATTTAGAACTCGAAGAAGTCAATCGTAACGTATGACTTTACTGATTTTTCATCATTCTCATCTACTTATCTAGTATAGTTGATCGGTGCTTAGTTTCATACATCCTCTTATTGCAATTAAAAAATTAAACTAATCTCCATACCTTCACTAATTTTACAATCCATTGAGCAAAAAATTTGCAGAATCACTTGTAGATAGATATCTCTACGCACGATTAACCGTACTAATTTAATGTTATTTTTATAATCATATACTTAATTAATAGGTGTTATTTAGTCCCTTAGTGTACAGTGTAATTTAGTGATATGCCATTAAAAAACTTGACTCAAATGTATAAGTGAGTGTGATTGATATTTTCATTTATCTCATTAATCACTGTGGTGTGGTTTTTGGTATTAATGGGAAAATAGTAATGAACACTTTGACTCTTCTTAACCGAATACTCACTCGTGTAGTTCAATACTAAAGTATATTAGTAATGGCAGCTATCAAATGATAAACTTGAGTTAAAATTTACGATCATATCAAATACAAAATGATCGAATAACAACACTGTTTTATATTTGAATACAAAGTAACAACTTGCAAAGCTATTCATAGTATTACTCATTTATTGCTAATTTTTTTAAATAAATTTGACGTAAAACTATTGTATACTCACGTCATACCGAAATCAACATTTAAAAAAGTCAACTTACTGCCATCAGATTATGTTAGGAATGAGCGAAAAAAGGATAGATTGCTAAAATACTTCGTGTCACAAGACTCTTAATGCATGAATACATGTTATGCCTGTGTTAACTTTAATAATAACTTCGTATGCTTCGTCATAAACTTCAAGAAGCCGTTGTAAATAAAATGAATGCCTTTAACATGGATAAATATCTGTTTTATCTTAAGAGAAATATTGAGGGCGAATAAATTATTAGAATTTTCTATCAGTAAATTACCATCAAATTCATGGTTTATCACAGATGAGTGTTTTACAGCGCTGGTTATCACAGAAGTGATCCATTTTTGATATAGTTACAAATTCCAAATCTAATAATAACTTTCAATATTTTCAAACGAAGATAGGAGATATCAACGTTCTTGTTACTTTTTTATACTATATAAATTTCAAAGTAATTTACAATACTGTTGGAAACAGTCCAAATGATTTCAAGCAGGTTTTCTGTATTGATATTTATCAATAGAAAACATCAAAAAATTTTCTGTCTTGAAAATATATAAAATATAAAATTGACTTTTAAAAGATTTTGCAAGAATTTGTTATAAAATCCTATTGTTCAGCGAGAAAAGCCAAAAGTACGTATTAAAAGAATAAGGTCATTTTTTATAAGTTAGCAGCATTATCTATCTATCAGCAACATATTATGCAGATGCTAGTAGCTATCATCTCTTCTAGTTTTTCAGTGAATCCGTTTAGATACTACCCTCAGTCTTATCAAATTCATTAAAAGGTACTGAATCCAGATAGCATCGTCTCAATTCTTCAATTCAAGTGATCCTCTGACTTTCAACTGTACTAACTTCATATTAAGGTCAGAATTTAGTGATTAATTACAAATGCAGTTTATTTTACAATGCTTCTGTACTGCGGTTTGATAATTCATTCTATCGTAACTTTTGAATTCGCAATAGTGTAAATAACGCTAGATATCACTATGCTTGACCTGTGATGAATATAGAATTCATTCGAATTTATGTTCTGGAAGAATATAAGGAACACAAATCGATTCCGTTGTAATTAAGATTATGGTCATTTACCTAAAAAATGAATGTAGTCGTATCAAAAAATAATATTTCCAACTTCTGATTACTTCTCATCTTTTCACTACTTGGATTCAAAATATGAGCACTGTAGTGTGTCTGATCACTTTTTCTCTTTTAAATTCATCCAACGCTTTGCTTAATTACTACTTTAGGTAGACCTTATTCGTCTAGTCTATCTGTTCATAATTTAGCCTTAGAACAGATAATCTAATGAGCAAAAGTGTACAAGTCATGCAACAGTATCAGTGTCATGGACAACCATACTGCTTCATTTTAAACGTCAGGAGAGTTAAATCATTATCTAGAAATTTTAAGACCTTAAGTAATGATCTTCAAATTCACAAAAATCATGATTTAACAACCCAAATGTGTTTGAAATCAGTTCCAAGCATTTGAGGTACTGGAATTGTAGTGAGATACACTATGAAAATCAAATTAATGGTTGTTTAGTGCTCATTTCGTATAATACAATCTCATTAAAATAGGAAACCTAAGAATAAGTTTATAACTTAGAAAATCACTATTTAAATTTTAGCTTGATCATTAAGTTAATTTTTCCTGGTATTTGTGTATTTTTTAGGTTGAGACTACTTGTTGATAGTTGGGCAATTTTGCATGTGTAAATATTTATTAGGTCCTACACCATTTGATGTGACTTTTCAGCACCATATATCTTTTTCGACGATTTATTTCCCTAACTGCTAAAAGTAGATCTACTTTGCATGGAAAATTAGTAGTGTGAAAAAGTTCAGAGTTCAAATAATATTCTGCAAGCCAAAATTGCAGAGCAAATAAATTTCACGTCATAAAAATGCTTAAATTTTTTACCGAAGACGTTTGATTAATTACTTTGGACATTTTTGAAATATTATCATGTGAATGGATTTGAAATAATTTAAATTGGTTGCTTTCGATATATTTGCGCAATAATTATATTATTGCTTTCAATTTTGAATCACTTTTGAACTTTTTTAATTACTAAAACTGATTGGCACTTTGATCATTTAAACATTTAGGAAATGGACATTTTAGTATATGAATATGGATGCAACTAATTAATCGAAAAAGACCACTTTTTCTTGAAAAACTGTCTCAGACACCAATTAAATGTGGTTTTATTTACAGCTAAGCAAATTGCAACACAAATAACGAACGTGTAAAAATTGAAATGATTATAGAATTGAAATTTTTGGCGCTTTAATTTGATTAATACTAATATTACTTATTTTATTTTTTCACTAGTACAAAATTATTCCCTTCTATATTTCCCATCATTTGCAACAGTACTAGTTCTCTTAACCGTTGTACTGTAATAATTATATTTTTTTAATGTAAATTATGTGATGCAAATTAGACTTATGATATGCAAATTAATATGTTTGTCCAGTTTAATTTGCATATAATTTTGCATTCAATAATAATGCATAGTAATACTAATAGCATGCATATCATTACGTGCACTGTATCTCTGTATACTGTATATACGCATGCAGTGTATACGTGCAAATCATGAAATTTAGTGCATTTATGCTAGGGTACGCCTTATAATCATTCGCATAATTATTGTAATGTAAAGTAGGCCGTTTACTTGAATGTATATGAAACTATGTGGTTGGAATTATTTTATCTGTTATTCCTGACCTTTACACGTCCCTTACTCGTAACTAAGTATAACTTACGTAAATATAATATGCATTACTTCAATTTTCACAGAATTTGTTTTTTCATTTGTTTGTAATCTGTAATTATCCTTAACTAATTTATTCAAAAGTCATAAAAATATTCCTTATAATACTTTCTCATTGTTTCTGGTTACTTAACAATAGTCAGTTCATAGACGTACGCTATGAAACTCTTATCAGTGATTTTTTTTAGAAATTCACATTTATTTACCTATTTTAGCATTGTTTCTGTAATTGTGAACATGTGACCGGTGTCTGTATATTATTTCACAGAATGTGTGAGCATTACGAAACAGTCATTAGGGCCATTCTTTTAATGTATTGCGAAATATTGCCAGTTTGGGATATTTCTTTTGTATTGTCACGTAAAGTAGATTTGTAGCTTGTGCTAAGATTCATTACAAAGTTGACGACCCATTTCTATGAATTTTTATCTCTTTTACTCACCAAAGTAAAAAATTTATCATTTTGCTTCACTTTACTCATTAAAAGAGATTTGACGTCGATGATTTATAATTTTTCGTATTCACATCAAATTTCTGTAGTCACTGGAATCAAAATTTGACGAGGAATTAATTATATTTTGCATGTGTAGTTTGATTTTTTTGAGAAATATCATTGTAGATGAGCAAAATCGAGCAGCAAAGTCTTGATGCAGCGTGGAAAAAAATCCAGCAAAATACATTCACGCGTTGGGTTCAACAAAAGTTGTCACAAGTTGATGAAAAAATCACTGATTTGGTTTGTAACTGCGCAATTTATGTACTTATTTTGTAAAATTCAGAATATCTTTAAGCTTTTTTTTTTTTAAATTCACTCAAAGCATTCATCGGACTTTATCATTCAGGCAACAGATTTTGAAGAAGGTTTGAAGTTGATTCGTTTGATTGAGGTGCTATCAGGTAAAAAATTCAGTCGCTACAACAAGAAAGTTGCATTTCGTCATCAAAAGCTGGAAAACATTTCTCTTGTGTTGCGATTTTTAGAGGACGAAGAGCATATAAAGCTGATCAATATAGGTATATTCATTTTTTTTACATTTTTGTCGAATAAGACTTGTTGTCCTGCTATTTAAGATATAGTGTTGACTGTGAGGGTTTTTGAGATTATTTATTCTGTATCAGTAATGAAGTAATCTTAAAAAATTTTTATATTTGCTATAATTGTAGACAGCTCAGCAATAGCTGATCGCAATCTTAAGCTAATTTTGGGGCTTGTTTGGAGCCTTATTTTGCATTACTCAATATCGAAAGAAGTCAGTGATAACCAGTTGGACGAAGAAATAGTTGATATTCAAATGCCAGCTAGAGAAAAGCTCTTGAATTGGATCAATTCGAAACTGCCGGCTGGAATTGTTGTTAATAATTTCACTTCCGACTGGAACAACGGCATCTTGCTGGGTGCTTTGGTATCTTTTTTATTTTTTGGTGGAATTGAGTTCTATTAAATTTTAAAATGTGAAAAAAGTTCATAAAGCAATTATGTTTTCAGGTCAGTTCATGTGCTCCAGATTTAAAAGTAGGTTGGGAAGACTGGCTGCCGTCAGAAGCTTTACAGTCAACAATTACTGCAATGAAGCTTGCAAGTGATTACCTCGGCGTCGCTGCAGTAAATTTTACATTCCTATTTACCATATTATGTTCAAATAATCATAGGAGTAATGCGCTACATTCTTCTTGTACATTCTGAATATTAAATTGATTCTCATAGAATTTGTCATTTACCATTGTGAACTGTCTTTCAGCTTATAGCACCAGAGGAGCTAATAAGCGCATCTGTTGACGAAAGAAGTATTATGACATATATTTCACAGTTTCTCAAAGCAAAGTATACACCACCGTTAGGTTCTCTCTGTGGCGTTGATTTAATGCCAGTTATTGGAATCAGCTCCAAGTTCATGCTTCGGACCCGTGATCCAGCAGTGGTGCCCAAAGTTACTATTAAAGGGCCCGATAAGTCTTCAATTTATTGCAGTCAGCTCAAGCTTTCAGAAACTCTTTACGAATTTAGATATCTTCCAGAATGTGTTGGTGAATATGAGGCAATAATTTTGTATTTTTTTGCTTTACTCATGTTTCTTAGGCTTATATTATGATTGCTAAGTCGAAAGACTAGTAGATTTTGATATGCAAAGTTTTAGAATTTATGCTTGAGCCCTCGTATTTATTGTTCTATCAGAAAAATTAATTGTTACAGATTTTGGCTGCACTGCAAGACATTGCCTCTGGAGATTCAGCGGAGTTAGCAAAGACCAAAATTTCAGTTGTTAGAAGCATCGACACATCTTCAATTATCATTGATGGTTTCGAGCATGGTTTGCTGTTGCAAACATTTTTTTCGTTTCCTTTTTTTCGGTCTAAAAGTGTGGTTTCATATGTACATTTCATCTAGCTCATGTTTCAATATGATTTCATATTGTTCCAGCTATATTCGGACAAAAGCAAATCATTACTATAGACATCAAAGACTTGAAACCTACAAATTGCGGGCTAGAAGTCTTTGTGGAAAGTGAAAGGTCGAAATATTTAATTCCTCTGAGATGGGATTCAAACTCAAGCGTTTACAAAGGTAATGTTTATGCAAAATCATGACTGATTTGTTTTATTTTGATAGTTTGTCTATCATTAGACAGTTAGTCACATTTTAAGGAATTTGGATACCGGATGAAGTCGGTAGAAACAACATCACCATTTTTTTCGATAAACAGCTAGTTCGTGAATACGAGCTTTTACTTCTGTGTCCATATGACGTAAATGAATTCAAAGCTAAAAACAGCGATATTTGTCGTGTCATTGTTGGTGAATCTGCAAGCTTCTTATTTGACGTAAAGGTATTATTAAAATATCTCAACATTGTTGCTGAAGCAGTTCAGAATCAAGATTTTGTTAGAAATATAGAAATAAGTTCCAATTGTGGCTTTAATAATTAACTTTCAGCATGGCCTTACGCTTCACTTTATATTTGTTGTGGTGTGCGTGTTTTAAAATTTGCCATGAATGAGAAAAATTGTAAGGCGGGAATGTTTTATTTTTTGTAATTAAAAAGCACGCTTCTTGCTACAGAGTGAAGTGGTGCTTTTTTGTTTATTCGTATTAATGAGATCGTTTGTACATAAGGTAATTAAATTTAGGACAGAAATAGAGGCATAGAAGTACAAATGAAAGGTCCATCAGAAACTGAAGTAGATATAAGTACTGATTGCGATGATTTTTACACAGTGCAGTGTACCATGCAAACGCCTGGACTGTATGAGATGATACTTTTTTTCGAAGATACTCGAGAACAAGTTCCAGGTATTTGGCATTGTACTCAGTATACCTTTTCCTGATAATTTATACACGATTCTTTGAACTGTGAAAAATTGTAGTTTTGAGATCGATATGTGATAAATAGAAGTGCCATCAATATTGCAGCTCCACCACTAAAAATTTTGGCTGATTACAAACGTGATCCTTCGAAAATTTTAATAAAGGGATACAATACTGGACATGTTCAAATCGGAGTCCCGACATCAATTTATGTCGATGCTACGCACACTGCTTTGGAACCAATAACGGCTTGGCTTTCTTCCGTTTCCGTACAACCTGTCGTAGAAGAAATCAAGCCTCGTGTATATCGCATTACTTTTACTCCACTGGTGGTTGAGAATGAGAAGATAACATTAGAAATTATGTATGGAGAACGACTTCTTGCGAAGTAATGATTTGCATTATTCCGGATATTTGTAAGCTTAATTTTCGCTAACTGTTGTGATTTGACATAGAGTACATCTTTCTTTCTGGCATGCTGTAAAATTGTCATCTTAAGCTGTTATAGTATCTGATAGGATTTTTATTTGCGCAGTTTTATAATTTTTTATTTAGGCCATTGGTTTTTATTGTTGACGCCAAAAAGGAATCGAAATTTGTAGTGTTGAAAAATTGTTTTGGTGGTCCCCTTCCATCAATAATACAAGCTTCTTTCCCTTATACTGCTTTTATTGACGCAACAAACATTGAGGAAAACGATAAAGTGGCTGTAGAAGTGAAAGTGAGATAATATAGTATCAGAATTTGATGATATTTGAGTGGTAGTTTCCTTTTTTTTATTTTTGGTGTTCTTTATTTTTTGCATTTATTGGTAGTGTTCTTTTGTATTCGTGCTAAGTTTTTTTAGACTTAAATCAATAAACATAACGAAATGATTTTAATCTAAGATAGTTTGATTATTATTATTATTGATTGTCTTTACTAATTCGTGTCTTCCAGTAATTCCGTATACTCTTTCATTTTAAAAATGTGATTGTTACTGAACACTAGTTCCTAATTTTTCGGATTTCAGGGACCAGATAATAAACCACGAAAGTTAACCCTCACAAAATGCTGCGACGAAATAGGTTACTTGTTGAGTTTTTTGCCAGAAACTGCAGGAAAATACGTTATTATATTATATCTCAATGGGAAGCAGGTTTTGGATCATTATGAATTGTTGGCTCAGTCAATTGGTTTCGCTAATCTTTGTGTGGTAGAATGTAAGTTTTCTAAGGGGAACATTTTCAGAAATAGAGACATGGCGGTAAATATTGCATATTTTAAGCACTTCACTTTGCAGATGCATTTTCTCATTCCTTACGTTAAAGCAATAAATAACTTTGCATGCAGTAAATTGATATTGTGTACTCAACGGTAGCACTGAAGAGGACAAAAGTTTTTTACGCAATGGGAGAGATTGAGTTGTTTGATTTACTGGGATTTTTATCTTTTCAGA